CATAATGGGCCGCCCCAACGTGACGGTGGACGAGCAGTCGCCGACGTTCCAAAGCGCCACCTTCACCGTCCTCGCCGACAACTTCGTCGCCCGGGGCATCGCCTTCAAGGTTATCCTTCGATCGTCGTCTTCTTCTTCTTGATCGATCGAAGCTCGCAAGCCTCGCCAACGGGCAACGGCCAACGCGCGCGATGTGTGCAGAACACGTACAGGGCGCCGGACGACCAGCTGAGCAAGGAGAACCAGGCGGTGGCGGCCCTGGTCGGCGGCGACAAGAGCGCCTTCTACGCCTGCGAGTTCCACGGCTTCCAGGACACGCTGTGCGACTTCCAGGGACGGCACTACTTCCGCGGCTGCCAGGTCCGGGGCGCCGTCGACTTCGTCTTCGGCTTCGGCCAGTCCATCTACGAGGACTGCGCGCTCGTGTCCGACATGCCGCCGGGCCCGCAGCCCGGGTGGGTGACCGCGCACGCGCGGGTCGCCGCCGGCAGCCCCGGCGGGCTCGTGTTCAAGGGCGGCGCCGTGCAGGCGGCGGGCGCGGCCCAGGGCCAGGGCCAGACCTACCTCGGCCGCGCGTGGAACGCCTTCGCCGCCGTCGTGTTCTACCGCACGCGCATGGACGGCGTCGTCGTGCCGCAGGGCTGGCAGGCCTGGAACGCCGCCGGCAACGTGTAAGCATCTATCGTGCATGCCACTGCTGCGCGCGGCGCCATGCGTGCGTGCGAAATGATTCATTTTGTTTTTTTTCCCAGGTGGAGCGTCACGTTTGCAGAGCTTGAGTGCACGGGACCAGGGTCGGAGATGAGCAGAAGAGTTGGCTGGGAGAAGCGTTTGACCGAGGAGGAGGTGCAAAGATTCGTGGACATCAGATTCATCGACGATGGCTGGCTGTCAAACCAGCCATAGTCCACAGAGATTATTATTAGCTAGCTGCTACTCTGAAGGAACTGAAATTAATTATTTAATCATCTTCTGCGTTGCAAACGAGCAAAAGGCTGATGTGGGTTGTGAGTTGGGCGAGGAATCCTGTCGACCATCTGAGTGCCGATAGGACCCTCATTGGCCTGATATGGCCCACTGGGTTGTCGTATCCAGTCATCCAGACCTGTTACAAGTCCTGTTGGCTGTTGGACGGCCGATAAAGTCTTGTCGGCCCGCTAGATGCCGATAAGTCTGATATCGGCCCTCAAGTACCCGACTAGGTACTACATTTACAATTTTCCTTCAACAAATGCTATATTTGCAATTAATCATTAAAAAATTATTTAAAAAAACCAAAGAGTTAAGACCCACCTACTACAAAATCGCATTGTAGGTTCAATGTGTTGTTGTTCTAAACGTCATTTATTTTCTATATTTTGCCACTGATGTTCTACAAACTATCGCGAGAACTGAGAACATATCGTTTTGCAACCCATAAATGAGAAAAAATTAACTGTAGGCCTGTAGCCTCTGGTCTGAATGACAAGAAGCTTAGACGACCGAAGGAGTAGAACAGCGACACGATCGCACAAAATACTAGTTTGGCCACTTATTAATATAGTACAAAAGATATACAAACTAAAGAGTTATATTGCATTGTGGGGTGCAGTATGTTAAGTTCTTTTTAAACACATAAAGAGCCTATTTTAAAAAATTAATTTTGGAAGACAAATTGACGCAAAAGCTATTTTTAAATTAAAGTTCACTTGACCCTACTACACTGTAAAATACAACAAAGAGCACATACCAAATTCAAGTCAAAGGAACCTTTAGCAAGATCAAGATCACACTAACCTAGAATTGACGGACCCAATGCATAAAGACCGAAGGACCCACATGTTGGGGACATAGAGGACTCTTTTGTATGCGGTATGGACTATTTTTGAGTTAATTAATCTAAGCCACTAGCACATGAGTGACTTGGGCCCACCTGAAAGGTCCTAATGGCTAGAGGGGGGGTGAATAGCCTAATAAAATTCTACAACAACACTTAACAAAATGTGTTAGACAATTTTGCGGCGGAGCGAGTGTTGCGCTAGCCTACTAAAATGCAAGCCACCTACCACAATTCTATTTCAAATAGTGTATGTCCACACAATAGCTATGACACTTAGCTAAATTAGTGTACTCTCAAAGACTAACTAAAGAGCAACACTAATCAAACAAACAAGCTCTCACAACTAGCTACACTAAAGAGCTTGATAACTAGTTTGCGGTAATGTAAGAGTGAGCAAGAGAGTTATACCGCCGTGTAGTGGTAGGAACCAATCAATCACAATAATGAATACCAATGTAGACCAATCACCTCGAAATCAAATGATGAACACAATGATTTTTACCGAGGTTCACTTGCTTGCCGGCAAGCTAGTCCTCGTTGTGGCGATTCACTCACTTGGAGGTTCACGCGCTGATTGGCATCACTCGCCAAACCCTCAATAGGGTGCCGCACAACCAACACAAGATGAGGATCACACAAGCCACAAGCAATTTACTAGAGTACCTTTTGGCGCTCCGCCGAGAAAGGTCAAGAACCCCACAATCACAATCACCACGATCGGGAGTCGGAGACAATCACCTCCTCCACTCAACGATCCTTGCTGCTCCAAGCCGCCTAGGTGGCGGCAACCACCAAGAGTAACAAGCGAAATCCAAATGAACACAATCACCAAGTGCCTCTAGATGCAATCACTCAAGGAATGCACTTGGATTCACTCCCAATCTCACAAAGATGTTTAATCTATGATGGAAATGAGTGGGAGAACTTTAGCTAGGCTCACAAGGTTGCTATGTCAATGAAAATGTGCAAGAGAACTCCTTTGAGCCGCCATGGGGCTATAAATAGAGCCCAGTGAAATAGAGCCATTGTACCCTTTCATTGGGCAACCGGACGCTTACGCTGCCCTCGCGTCCGGTCCGCGTGATTCACGCCACGTGTCCCTTGCTTCAAATGCTGTTCGTCGTGATTTCAACGGTCATGACCGACCGGACGCTCGAGAACGACCGGACGCTGAAGCCCCAGCGTCCGGTCGTTTCCAGTAAGCTCCCCGAGGCATGATTTTTCGACCGGACGCGTCCGGTCCACCTTGACCGGACGCAGCCAGCGTCCGGTGCTCATCCCTAGCCACTGTACCGACAGTCAACGCGACCGGACGTAGGAAGTCAGCGTCCGGTGCTTCTGGATCCAGCGTCCGGTCACTAGACCGACGCCAGCATCATGTCGATCAACTCCATTTCAACTCTTACTTCTTCACCCTTGCTTAAGTGTGCCAACCACCAAGAATTTTGCATCCGGCGCAATAGAAAATAGACATTTCATTTTCCCAAAAGCGTCGAATCCCGCCTCGCAAGCTCGGCGGGAGGGAGAGAGAGGGACCCAAACCCATCTCAACCCTACAAACACCTTGCGCACATGTGTTAGCATATTTTCACAAATATTTTCAAGGGTGTTAGCACTCCACTAGATCCTAAATGCATATGCAATGAGTTAGAGCATCTAGTGGCACTTTGATAACCGCATTCCGATACGAGTTTCACCCCTCTTAATAGTACGGCTATCAAACCTAAATGTGATCACACTCTCTAAGTGTCTTGATCACCAAAACAAAATAGCTCTTACAAATTATACCTTTGCCTTGAGCTTTTTGTTTTTCTCTTTCTTCTTTCCAAGTCGAAGCACTTGATCATCACCATGCCATCATCTTTATCATGCTATGATCTTCATTTGCTTCACCACTTAGAGTGTTCTACCTATCTCATGATCACTTGATAAACTAGGTTAGCACTTAAGGTTTCATCAATTCACCAAAACCAAACTAGAGCTTTCACCACCACCAACCAGTTGGGGCCTTTTTAGATTATCTCCTCTAAACTTTAGAGCTCTAAACTTTAGATATAGAGTCTCTAAACAAGTGGTTTAAAAATACCTCTAAACTTTAGCTCACCTCACATTATAGCTTTAAATCTTAAACTAAGCTAAAATGTTGTAAAGTTTTTAGAGCTTTAAAGTTTAGAAGAGAGTATCCAAACAAGCCCTTATTGGTGGAAGCGACGTTATTATTAGACAAAAGAAAGGCCCTTATTGGTGGAAGCGACATTTTTATTAGACGAAAGAAAGGCTCTACAATATCTGTTATGGGCCATTTAAACTAATATAGGTCATTGGATTATCATAAAATCCAACGGTGTCAGGGGAATTCTAGTCAACCATAGGATAGGGTCAGAAATGCCTTGAGTTGGGAGGGATGACATACGGAAGAATCACACTCTTACTTTTATTTTATTTGAACAAACAATGCCCAGGAAGAAAATGTCCATTAGCAGGGAAGTTTAAATTTATTTGAACAAACAATAGTGTTGATATAGCTAGCAAAGAAAAAACATAAGATCATGGCCTCAGGAGGCTGTAATCTGGTGAAAAAAAAGATATACAAATAGAACTAAAATTTGAGTGAGTCATATAACCACACCACGAGCCGACAACGCCCCACCCCCAACACACACACACACACACACACAATGTCACACAAAGATAGCTAGGTGTGCAATAAACTAAACAAGTCACACAAAGATCATCCATCCATAATAAAAGAAGCAAAGAAGAATTGAAGAAGAAGTCATCGTCCTCACACCACGAGTGGACTAAACAAACTGGACAATTGCCAATGGAAGTGGAAGTTGGGAGCATATCACACGGCGAGCATGAGGCACCTAGAACTCATCACCTTCTCCCCGCCTACTACTCCCATTCCAGCGCGAATCCAGCAACCATGCAAAGAGAAACATGCATCTGATGTCATGCATCATGGAATACACAGCTCGATCTATCTGACACACACACATCGATGAGATCGGTCCATCCAAAGCATATGCATATATATATATAAAAGCCGCGGCACTCATCCACCATGCATCGAACATCATGACCTACATTCTTGAAATCTTGAAGGATTAATACCCCTCCCTCCACCACCTCCACCGGCCGAGAGCGAGCGGCCGGCCGGGCGGGGTTTCGGTTCGGCATGGCTGCCCCAGCGCTCCGCGTGGCGATCCTCGCCGCGGTCCTGCTACTCCCATTCCTCAGCGTGCCGGGCGCCGAGGCGCAGACCAAGAAGTTCTGCCTCACGCAGTTCGCCATCGCCAGCCAGGCCTGCGCCATCCTGCCGCCCACCAGCCCCGAGCACCACCACCACGATCACGACGACGAGGACGAGGACGAGGACGAGGACGAGGACGAAGACGAAGACGAAGACGAAGACGAGGACAGTGACGACGGCGGCGGCGACCGCCGCCACCGTGACCAGGACAAGAAGAGCTATAGCAGCGTCGTCAGTAAACCCGCCGCGTCCTCCATGATCACCGTCGAGGCGGAGGTGGACGCCTCCACCGACGACGACGACCGCAACGGCACCACCAGCCACTCCTCCGTGGTGGGAAACGGAAACAACACCCGCAGCGGAGACGGCGGCGGCGGCAGCGCACGACGCCGCCACGGCTCCAGCAGCAGGCGCCGCCGACACCGCCGTGGCCGTCTGCGTGACGGAGACGACGCCGAGGACGAGGACGAAGACGAAGATGAGGACGCCGACGAGGATGAGGACGAGGATGAAGACGAGGATGAGGACGACGATGACGACGACGACGACGACGACGACGACGAGGACGACCACCGCGCGTACAGGGACTGCTGCCGGTGGCTGAAGGAGGTGGAGCCGGACTGCGTGTGCGAGGCGCTGCTCCGCCTGCCGCCCTTCCTCGTCAAGCCGCAGCACAAGTACACCGTCAAGGTGGGCCACTCCTGCAAGTTCACCTACAGGTGCGGCGGCGTCTGATGATGAGCTGAAGGCCGTGGCCGGGCACGCTTGCATGCATGGCGCGAGAGCGTACGTATAAGGCTAGCTTGTGCTAGTTCTCTACGTACGTGCAAGCCGTGTCCATACACTATATATACTGCGTGCTACGTGATTGACATTCGAAAAAGCGACGTTATTACCGGCCGTAAGTATATCCATCCATCTGTGTGTCAACCATCAAGTTTGTGTTTATCAGGTGAGAAAAAAATCGTTTGGAAACCAATTAGAGATCGAGTTTGGCTTACATATATGTAAAACTGATCACTATATATAGGTAGCCAAAAATTTGTAATGTAATAGTAATATTGTAGTACGTGTTATATATGTCGGTATCTGTCGTGTGTCACTAGCCAGTGATTTGTTGTTGTTCCAAATGCTATATGTATACGTTGTCCCTAGAGACGATGATGTGTTAAATATGTGTATGTGTTTGACATTGGTCTCGACAAAAAATCATTGAGCTGGCTTGGTGGCTCGTTTTAAAATTACTCTGCTTCAATCATTTTTTGACAAAAATAAATAAATTGGTTTTCAATTACTTTCTACTTTAGCTTGACTCATTAAGTTTGATTTGAAGTGCATCTCAAACAATTCAAAAGACTAACTAATAATATTATGTCAACATTTTCCCAAAAAAAAACTCAAAAAAAGTGTTGCTGGCTCATTATCCATGCTCAAACAACGAGCCCGTTGCATTCCAACCAAGTATAGATCTAGAAAAACCATGATCATGGTACACAAAGGATTTGCGTGACTTGTTCTCCAATTTAGCTTCACACAAATGACCCAATGCAAAAGCCACTCTCTTCGATAGAAGATATAATCCATTTAATGTATATATATATAAGGTAAAACATTTACCACCAATAGCTGCTCCACGGAACATTATTATTAGGAAATAATTATATTACATGAAAAATAACTTTATCCATGAATATACTAACACTTATCTTACAAACTTTAAGAATATATATGTATCTATTTTTTTTTGCAGTACAAAGACCATACAAAATTGAAACAAAAATATCATAAAATACTAAAACACTTTGATCATGAATATGTCAGCATAAATCTTATATATATCGAGTACAGCATTAATCTGCATACCATTTTGGACTACAAAACAACCACGCATGTACCCACCAACACACGCATGAGTGTGACCGTTTCAATCGCGTGCTAATAAATTCTGAAAGCACTAGTCTTGGCCTAAAGTCATGTGCACCATAACTTAAATCTGGGTGTGGATAGAGTCATATACTCTCCCGACACCTTCGCCACCTATTTTGTTCACAAATGGCTGGGGAACGGCCTCTTGGCCAAGTGGTCAGCGCAGACTCGTTACTTCCTTGGCGGCCCCTAGTTTGAGCCCTGTTGGTTTCGTTTGTCGGACGACTGGAAAAAACGGCCAAAGCACATAGAGGTTCTACCTCCTGGGCGTCCCATCCTGAGTTCGAGCCCTGTTGGGCGTGTTCGTCGAGCGACGGGAAAAAAAAGCCAAAGCACACGGATCGAGTTTTTTTTTTCATAAATGGCTGAAATAGTTTTATCCACAGAAATCCTAAAATTAATCTATCTTTCAGATAGAAAGTGAAGCAAGATTATATCCAGTCTGCCTCCGCTCCAAAAAATGTGCCTCTTTTTTACTCTACGTCCCACATGTTTTACCTCTTTTTTTTTTTAAAAAAAAGAACACAGTATCGATATGGATGCTCGCAACTCGCATGATCATATATGTACCACTCATTAATCATCTTATACTCAAGCAATATTAGATGGACAATATATATAGTTTTTTTTGTCTCATGCCCAAGTCAAATAGACATGTATTTGAATCGCAAGGAGCATTTTATAGACATGTTGAAAGTGATAGTCAAAGTTTTTAGCTTTTTATATCACACGAGGGCACTTTTTATTTATCCGGTACGGCAATGGACAATAATAAACACATCATCCGCGTGTCTGACGCGGGGCCCACCCGCCAGTCTCTAGTCTCCACCGCCCGCAGCCAGAGGCGACCGGATCACGCGCGTCCCATCTGGGCGCTCCCGGCCGGGGACGGACACGGACGGTAGGTGGAAGTGGAAGCAAGGCGAAGCGAGGCGTGCGAGCCCGGCGAAGCGAAGCCTCCCTCTCCCTGTTTCCTCCCGTGCTCCCCACCCGGCCACCCGGGAAAAGGGGCAACGAGAAATCGAACCCACACGCAACGCGAGTACGCGACACCTCCACCTCCACCCGCTCGCCTCTCGCCTGTGTCCAGATCCAGCCGCCCGCATCTCTCTCTCTCTCGCTCGCGCGCGATGAGCTGCCGCGGCGGGCGGGCGTGCTAGCGGTAGCAGCGAGCGGTGCGCGAGGGCGGAGGAGGCGGAGGCGGGTGGGCGGATCCGGGGGGCGGCAAATCTGGCAGGCGCCGCGGTGGGGCTGCGAGCGCGGGGGAGGGCGGGGGGCTGGGCGGACGGCGCGGAGGGCGGGGAGGGAGGGGAGGACTGCGGCAGGCTCAGGCCCTGGCGCAGGAGGCTGCTCGCGTCCATGGCGCTCTCGTGGCCCTCGGCCGTCCGCCTCGCCGTCGCCGCTGTCCTGCTCGTCGCCGTCGGCGTCGCGCTCTTCACGCTTCCCGTCGAGAAGGTTCGGGTTTCTGCAACTCTCCACCCCGCCGCTAGCTAAATCGGCCCGTTCGCGATTCCATGTTGGGATTATCAGAGGACACGCGTTTGGGATGATCTGTGCTGCTTGTAGCTTCATTCATGCTGTGGTTAGGCATGGAAACAGTCATCCTGGTTGTTGAAATGTGGGTTCGTTTGCTCTCGTGATTGGTTCAGCTCCCCCTCCCTCCCCTCGGTACCCAAATCTGCCATGGTTATACTTCGTGTTGCTATCTATTTGGCCGGAAATTCCTGTTCGAGTGGAGCTAATGATGGGCCGTGCCAAATGTGCATTCGAATGTTTCAGTCATCAGAAATGTAGTATCGTTTTGGGTAGACTAGGTCAATGCGTTATGACATGACATGGTTGTAAGTAACACATATCATGAATACATGTATTCCCAAATTGTAAGACTTTTCCTGTCTAGCAGGAAACTTCCAAAGGGTACTCTATTGCTTCTCACATCCACTGTTGCGTGCCATAGTAGGTCAGGATGCATGAATCGGGAGGATTAGTTGTTGGAATCATTTTTGTCATCTGACCATTCTAGTGCTTAATTTGTCATCCGTTCATGCCTTGTTCAATTATGGATATATCCTTGTGGTATTATCTAGTTCTGTCTTTAGTAACTGTTATACCCTGTTATGGTATTCTGTTAGGATATATACTGCTTTCCGTTTTAATTTGCCTCAAGATGGTCATAACTTAATACCTGAAGTTTACCTTTCTCAGCTGTCCAGCTCACGGCATTACCTGCTCTGCTTTTTTTCATCTTGATTGAGAGAATTTTTGTCAATTAGTTTTATTCTTTTTACCTAGTTTACATCATAATGCTGTGATATGTTAATTTACTAGGATAATCCAGAGTTTGAGAAGTTCTTACTTCCCTTCTCCTCGCTTTCTTGTTGCCTATAAATCTTAAGATTATGGAGCTTAAAATGTAGATTAATTTAACTTCCGCATCAGGTACTTATTGGTTTAAGTTTACATTGACAGATTTTAAAGGACTTTCTGGTTTGGATCAAGGAGAACTTGGGTCCATGGGGTCCTTTGGTGTTGTAAGTATTGAACTCTCTGCACATAAGTGGTAGTTTCTCACTTGCAGCCACACTTTTGGAGCACACTTACTGCTATACTCCACTACACAGCTTTTCATAGAAAACATATGTCCTGCCCCTTAAATAAAACCCAAACCCACCTACAAGATATATATAAGCCTTGCTTTGTTATGCCTGGTACTGGTATTTGGCTTGCACTTGTTCTATATTATGTTATATGACCTTACCATCCTTTTCATTTCCAACTTAATTATATTCGTGTTGTGTAATATTACAGGGCCCTCGCTTACATCCCTCTGACAGTCTTAGCTGTTCCAGCATCAATTCTTACAGTACGTTAGATTGCTATTTCCCCTTTTTACAAGCCTTGCCCTTTTCCTCTTTTAAGAGCCCTCATGTTAGATCACCTTTTTATGTTGCTGCAATTTTTTTACCAGCTTGGAGGGGGCTATTTATTTGGATTGCCAGTAGGGTTTGTTGCTGATTCCATTGGAGCAACAATTGGTGCAACTGCTGCATTTCTGCTTGGCAGGACGGTATGTATAGTAAATGTTCCTTTTTCTGTATTAAAAAAATTATATATTGCGAATCGAATAGTACTGTAGGGTAAATGCTAAGTGCTAAATCAGTTCATTGCATCTGGTTGGTTGCCCAGTTATTTCTATCTTTCATGTTACAAACTGTGTATTCTGTGGTGCATGCCTTTTTTTTATCTTGTGTTTCGACTGTAACTACATTAAAGATAATTGGTTACACCTTATGCACCTTGTTCCTGTGGATAATTATGTCCGCTGAGTAGATTTCCAAGTACTATAAGTTTCAATTATTTTCAAGTATTATTACTTTTGTGATATAGTAAGAGTTCTATAATATTGTTGCAGATTGGGAGGCCTTATGTTCTCTCGAAATGCAAAGATTACCCTAAGTTTCAAGCAGTAGCCATTGCTATCCAAAGATCTGGCTTCAAGGTAATTTTTTGCAGTCTGGAGGTTTTAGACACACAATTGGCTGAAAATAACATTGGACTGATATGGGATTGCCCAACTCTAACCATATTATGAATTTGTCTGATTCATTTACGTGGTTTCACTAAGGCTTCTAACATATGTGCAGATCGTGTTGCTACTAAGGCTTGTACCTTTACTTCCGTTCAACATGTTGAACTACCTGTTATCTGTCACTCCTGTTGGTGTTGGAGAGTACATGCTGGCTTCTTGGTTGGGAATGATGGTATGCTTCCACTTGTTACCTTTTTACATTTTATGTCATCTTTGTTGATATCTTCTTTGTGCTTCATGTCTAGACTACCCCAAATGGTTGGGGAGAAAAAAAAGGCTCTGTTGCTGTATGACGGCACCAGGCTACTGGCACATACTATATCTAGCTCATTGAAACTTTGCTTTGTAACTATCTGCTACATTGTTTGCATAATTGCAACCATTTGTTTGTTTGCATAATTTGCTGTGTTAGACTATGCTTTATAAGTAAATGTGCTGTTTTCCTTTGGTACTTGTTTGATACTAAATCTATTTTATTGATAATATATTTACACAGAGAACTTTGTGGGAGTGAGAAGGCAAGGAGATAGGATTATCTTAGTCAAGCTTGTCGTTGGTGATATGGTCTTGAATGTAATTAGTGCGTATTCCCCCCAAGTAGGCCTCGACGAGAGTGCTAAGAGATAGTTCTGGAAAGACTTAGATGGCCTGATTAGAGCTGTACCTAGTAGTGAGAAGCTTTTGTTAGGAGGAGATCTTAATGGGCATGTAGGTACTACAAGCGCAGGTTTCGAGGTAGTTCATGGAGGTTTTGGGTATGGTAGTAGGAATCAGGAGGGGGAGGAAGTTTTGGACTTCGCGGTAGCTTTTGACCTGATGATAGCCAACACTTTCTTTAGAAAGAGAGAATCTCATCTAGTGATCTTCAGTAGCGGACAACATTCTAGCCAGATTGACTTTGTCCTTACAAGAAGAAAGGACAAACGAGCATGCTTGGGTTGCAAGGTGATACTAGGGGAGTGTGTTGTTTCTCAACATAAGCTTTTGGTGACAGACTTTCGTTTTTAGGTGCGTGCCCGTAGGGATAAACAAGCTAAGATTGAAAGAACAAAATGGTGGAAACTGAAAGGGGAGACGTCAGAGGTATTTAGGGAAAGGGTTATCAAAGAGGGCTCTTGGAAGGAAGAAGAGGACATAAACAACATGTGGGAGAAGATGGCAACCAACATTCGAAAGGTGGCCTCAGAGGTGTGTGGAGTAAGCAAAGGAAGTGGAGGTGAGGCTAAAGATACTTGGTGGTGGAACGAGGAAGTCCAAAGGGCTATTAAGAAGAAGAAAGAATGCTATAGACGCTTGTACCATGACAGGAGTGTGGACAACATAGAGAAGTATAAGGTGGCAAAGAAGACTGCAAAGCGAGTTGTAAGTGTGGCAAAGGGTAGAGCGTACGAGGACCTTTATCAACATTTGAGTACGAAGGAAGGAGAGAAAGACATTTATAGGATGGCTAGGGTTCGTGAGAGAAGACAAGGAACTTCAACCAAGTTAAGTGCATTAAGGATGAAAGGGAGCATCTCTTGGTGAAGGATGATGAGATCCGACATCGATGGCAAGAGTATTTTGACAAATTGTTCAATGGTGAGAATACGGACACAACCTTTCAATTGGATGACTCTTTTGATGACACCAATAGGCGCTTTGTGCGGAGAATCCAAGAATCCGAGGTCAGAGAGGCGTTGAAAAGGATGAAATGAGGTAAGACGATGGGACTGGATGGTATCCCAATCGAGATGTGGAGATGCCTCGGGGACATAGCTATAGTATGGCTAACCAAGCTGTTCAACCATATTTTTCGATCGAACAAGATGCCTGACGAGTGGAGAAGTATATTGGTACCAATCTACAAGAATAAATGGGATATTCAAAGTTGTACTAATTACCGGGGAATTAAGTTGATGAGCCATACTATGAAGCTATGGGAGAGAGTTATCGAGCATCGCTTGAGAGCAATAACGCGGGTCTCTATGAACCAATTTGGTTTTATGCCCGGAAGGTCAACTATGGAAGCCATTTTCTTAATAAGACAAGTTATGGAGCGGTATAGGGAGAAGAAGAAGGACCTACACATGGTTTTTATTGACTTGGAGAAGGCTTATAATAAAATACCAAGGAATGTTATGTGGTGGGCTTTGGACAAACATAAAGTCTCAACGAAGTACGTCGGGCTCATTAAGGACATGTATAACAATGTTGTGACTAGTGTTCGAACAAGTGATGGAGGCACGGATGACTTCTCGATTAGGATAGGACTACATCAAGGGTCAGCTTTGAGCTCTTATTTGTTTGCCTTAGTAATGGATGAGGTCACAAGGGACATACTAGGGGACATCCCTTGGTGTATGCTTTTCGCGGACGATGTAGTGCTAGTTGAAGAAAGCCGGACAGGAGTGAATCAGAAACTGAAGTTATGGAGGGAGACTTTGAAGTCCAAAGGTTTTAGACTCAGTAGAACTAAAACTGAGTATATGAGATGTGACTTCGGCACTACTACTCGGGAGGAGGAAGATATTAGTTTGGAAGGTCAAGTAGTGCCTAGGAAGGATACATTTCGATATTTAGAATCAATGCTACAGAGAGACGGGGATATTGATGAAGATATTAGCCATAGAATCAAAGCATGGTGAATGAAGTGGCGCCAAGCATTTGGTGTCCTATGTGACAAAAGGGTACTACAGAAGCTAAAAGGCAAGTTTTATAGGACGACGATTAGACTTGCTATGTTGTATGGTGCAGAATGTTGGCCTACGAAAAGACGACATGTTCAACAGATAAGTGTCGCTGAAATGCGTATGTTGCGTTGGATTTGCGGTCATACGAGAAGGAATCGAGTTCGGAATGTTAATATACGTGATAAATTAGGGGTAGCACCAATTGAAGAAAAGCTTGTCCAACACCGGTTGAGATGGTTTGGACATGTCCAACGGAGACCTCCAGAGGCACCGGTTCATAGTGGAATCCTAAGCCAGGATAGTAATGTGAAGAGAGGCAGAGGAAGACCGAAGTTGACTTAGGTAGAGGCAATAAAAGGAGACTTGAAAGGATGGAATATACCCAAAGACTTAGCCTTAGATAGGAGTGCTTGGAAAACAGCTATTCACGTGCCTGAACCTTGATTGCTTCTGCTGGGTTTCAACTCTAGCGTATCCCAACTTGTTTGGGACTTAAAGGCTTTGTTGTTGTTGTTGTTGTTGTTGTTGTTGTTGTTGTTGTATTTACACAGAGAGCTTTGTGAGTTGTGACTATTAACAGCATACTCATGTCATTAGCTAACTCAGCTTTATATTACCCTTTTCATTTATGAACTGTTCTTAGCCCATCAAGGCAGTGCTACATTTCATTGTTGCTAATCATCCTTGTTTTACAGCCAATCACTCTTGCCTTGGTGTACGTTGGAACAACACTAAAAGATCTATCAGATGTGACACATGGGTGGAGCGAGATCTCGACTACTCGATGGGTGAGTAATACTAATGACGCATTATCTCAATTGCTGCATTGTGCTTGTGATATCATGTATTGGCTTGTGTTTTGTAACTATCAGTTCATATAAAATTTCTGAATACAGAGTAAATAACTCTTTTCATAAAGAAAGAAAAATGTATCATTAGGTTCTTTTTTTTTTGCATTTATCTTTGGTTCCTACATGAACACAAGTCATTAAATATGCCTGTTTGCATAAACGATTTGTTTATCATACAGAATTAAGATGATTGGGATCTGATAAAATTTGTCCATTTGCGCTCCCAGTACATCCGTGTTACTATTAAGTTGTGTCATCAACGAACCTCTGCAAAACCTAGAAAACTTTGCAGTTATTTTGTTCATTTTCACTTGTACTTGAATGAGTGATTTAATCTTGGGATATTTGATTTGAGCTTGAGGGCAAAATTTTGATCACTGCCACAATTCTTACATGTGTGGTGGTATATCAGTGTGTTGATTAGGCCGTGTTTGATTTTGGTGGGGTAGCATTTGGAAGTAGATGGAACAGTTGCAAATTATGTCTTAGTTTTAGCGGAGACGTGCAAGGAAAACATTAAACATCCTATATCGACAAGCTCCTTCCATCCCAAAAAAGAATGCAAATCTAGGTGACAAGTCAAACTTTCTAAAATTTGACCATAGAAAATAATCTCAACATTTATGTCCCCAAATATGTTTACTATGAAATATATTCCATAATTGATCTAATGATATTTATTCAGTATCATAGTTTTTAGTACTTTTTTGTATAAATTTAGTCAAACTTAAAATTGTTTGACTCTTTTTGGGATGGAGGGAGTAGATAACAAATGCTACAGCAAAGAAAACCTCTTTCTTTTTGGTACCTCATCACCAGTGAATCAAATGTTTCTGTTAAGTTGTTCCTCATTTTTTTTTCTCCAAGGATGCCGGAGAAGTTGTTCCTCATTTGTATTTCAGAAGTAGATTTTGATTTAATACATTGGTTCTAGTAACTTCAGCTGATACCTATGCTTGTTTCTTTTTTCTTTCAGATTTTGATAATATCTGGCTTTGTATTATCTGGTATGTGCCATTATCCTCCCTTTATAGTTCTGATAGCATCTGTCTTTTTTGGTACTTAGTTACAGGTATAATTCACTCTAATTTTAACCAAAATCTTAATGTCTTAAAAATACCAAGCCAGTTGACTTAAAGTCATGTGTTTCTTACCTTATCTTTTTAATACATCAGGATCTTGTAAATTGAGCCATTCTCCTTATTTCATGTCCGGATTTATACACAAGTCCTAGGAGATTTTAAACATCCTTGCTTTTGGTTTCTGAATCTACTTATGAAAGAACAGCAGTGCATGCTGATAGCCGAGACATGGGGATCCCCTTGAAGGTTTTGCTTGCCCTGGTTATAGATGACTAATGAAATTTCATCTTGGCACAGCTTAGGCCTTGAGGAAATGAGGAGCAGACAAAACTGATTCAACTGTAATTTAATTGCAATTCTAGAAGGTCTATGGGACTTGGGAGAAATAAATTTGCACACTTTAACAAACCTGTATTCTTATTAATGGATATCCAGAAAGCAAACAGAACTGCATTCAACTGTAGGCCTTCAATTCAGCTCAGTGGATTTGCAACATTGAGTGGGCAATCCCTTCTCTATAGAAAATTTGAAGAATTTATCTTAAAATGACATGTTAAATTATTCCTGTTCAGTTATCTTAACAAGTCTCTTCTTGCTCATGTATATACTGGCTGTTTTCACTGTGGTCCTGCAGTGGTCTTGATTATCTGCGTCACAAAAATTGCAAAATCATCTCTGGAGAAGGCATTGGCCGAGAATGGAGAGCTCGATGTAGGAACATCGCAGCTTCCTGTGGTAGCCTCTACCTCGGATCTGCAACAACCTCTTGTAATCAAGATTGACACATCAAATGAAGATCATGAGAAGTAAAAGTGTTGGGTTTACAATCCCTGATGTACATTCTTTGGCTGTTGAGTCGGTAGACTATACCCATAGCTCTGGTGAGGCCGGTAAAAGGGTAAAAAACAACCCAAAAAGAGAGAAAATGAGGGTGAGTTTGACTGATAGGTAATAGTAATACGCTATGCGCTCTGTTTCACTCCACGTGCTACCATATCTTTGGTGAAAATGCAATTGTAGTATTTAGTTTTCTGACGTGCCCAAGTTTCGAGCTTCATTTGGGCCCACAGGCATACCTACGTTCTTTACATGGTTATAAACATAACCCACATTCCCCCCAACACCCCACCCCTTTCTTCAACTACTTACTCGAATAAATTAATTCAGTATTGTCTTAAGTTAAACTTTTTATGTTTGACTGAATATATAGAAAATAGCATAAATGTTTATGAAACTAAATGAGCATATTATGGAAATATATTTTTATGATAGATTTAATGATACTAATTTGGTGTCATAATTTTTTTTCTTTCTTTTCTATAAATTTAGTCAAACTTAAAATGGTTGACTTTAGACAATTCTAAAAATTGATTTGTTTGTGGACGGATGTAGTATGTATTAGTCTATGATTTGTCGCTTTTGTTTGTAGTCAACTTTAATCTAGTTTATGGAAAAATACATAAACATCTACAAGTTCAAGTGAGATTATTAATTGGATTTCTGATGAAATATGTTTTAACAATGTATTCTTGAACTTGTATATAAATGTTGATGCACATATTTATCTAAAAGCGTCGTTAAAGCGATTAGATAAAATTAAAGTGGATGGTGGGAGTAGCAGGATTGGTTAAACATACGCTTCTATCTGAACAGGTACGCTCTTTGGTACAATCAGCAATGTTTTACGGATGTGTGCTACATTGTCATCATGCTTCTGTTATTCATACAGAGGTGAGCCGCTGGTCGTGTCCGCTAGATAGGCATAAAATGCCAAAACAGCCTCTGCTTTTGGTGAATTTGTGGCCAAATCGAACTATATAGATCTTTTTGTCCGAATTTTATAGGGGCTACTGCGTTCTAGCCTCTTTTTAACCCTAATTGTGATTTTATCCCTATTTTCTTTCATTTTGTGTTTTTACTCCTGCTTTTCTAAAACGAAGGTTCAGTTTACCTCTACTCTGTGAACAACAGGTAACAGTGTTAAAAAAGTTGAAAGATGACAAGTTTGCCCTTCCGAAAATTACGTTTTTGCCCCTATTTCAAACCTCAATTGTGATTTTAACCCCACATTCTTCCACTTTGTGTTTTTACCCCTACTTTTTCAAAAAGAAGGCTCCGTTTACCTAATTCTTAACTCAGTTATCTACATCCAGATCAAAGCAATTAAAAATTAACAAAAGCCACGCTGAAAAGACAAACTTACCTTATCTCTCGCGCTGCGTCTCTCTCGAGGCGCGTCCTCTCTCAGCTGCTAGCGGACGGCAGCCTAAGAGGCTAGCAGTGTGGCGTGATGGCTCGAAAAAGCGACGTCGGCGGAAGCCGTCGTGTCTTGCCAAGCTTAGCGGCCAATGGCCAACGGCGTGGCGTGCGGCGCGCAGCCGGCAGCGCCACACACGCCCACTCGCCGCACACCGCCTCGGACGGGCCCGCTGCTTGCCTTCCGCCACCAACTCACCGCACCCACCATCCGCTAGAGTTGAGAGAGAGGCCAAAGACCCGCCTCTCTCTCATGGTGGTCGGCCGCCACGAGATGCGGCTCGCAACGCCGCCGGCCACACACACCCGCCCCATCACAGTAGTTGTGTGCATGGCGTGGCTGGCGCCACACGCCCACGCTTAAGCCAGCCGCTCGCCACCGCCCGCCACGCCACGACGCAAGACGCTGCCGCTAACCGCCGCTGCGGCCCGACTCCATGGTGCGCCACGCTTCGCTCACGCCACCACCGCCACCACTCGCAAATTACCACGCTCATGCTAGCGCTGAGAGGGACGACCACTAGAGAGACGACCGAGAGATAAGGGTAAGTTTGTCTTTTCATAGGGCTTTTGTTAATTTTAAATTGCTTTGATCCGGATGTAGATAACTCGAGTTAAGAATTGGGGTAAACGGAGCATCTGCTTTGGAAAAGTAGGGTAAAAACAAAAGTGGAAGAAAGTGGGGTAAAATCACAATTGGGATTTGAAATAGGGCAAAACGCAATATTTGAAAGGGCAAACTTGTCATCTTTCAACTTTTTTAACACCATTACCTGCTGTTCACGAGTAGATGTAAACTGAACCTTCATTTTGGAAAAGCAGGGGTAAAAACAAAAAGTGAAAGAAAATGGGGGTAAAATCATAATTGGGGTTCAAAATAGGGGCAAGAACGCAATAGCCCCAAATTTTATAGGATTAAGTCCACTTTTGGCCCCTCAACTATTGTGTTGGTCTAATTTTAACCCTTAACTATAAAACCGTCTAATGCTAGTATCCCAACTATTAAAACCGTTCACTTTTAGCACCGCACACGGTAAGGCTGTTTTGACCGACGTTGAGCAGTTTTGACCACACGCGGGAGCAGGCCGGCCCAGGAGGGTAGGCCCAGGGCGCGCTGCGCATTTTGCATAAGAGACCTTGGATTTTCATGAAACTAACCTTCACTCCATACTACTATTCACATGAGTCATAACATTTGTATTTAGCACCCATAAAAATCTCGTCTTCACCTTTCCCAGTCCCTGGGCGGCACCAGAGCAGAGCATGCCACAGGGGGCGACGGCCGACGGCCAATCCGGCCGGGAGGAGGCTCGTCGGCGGCGAGGGAGGGAGGCGCGAGGAGCGCGCAGCCCACGCGCTAGGTCCGGAAGGCCACTAGTGCGCAGTTGGTGTAGCGGCGGGGGCAGAGCGCGCGCGTCGCCCACGCAGCAAAGAAGACAACAGCACACACACACACACCCCAGCCACCCAGCACACAAGAGGACTCGAGGTCGTCGACATGGCACATAGCGTGCGACTTTGTTGTGATGATCGCCGTCGTGGCCGCGGGTCTTTCTTGGCAGCAGCGATGGCGACCTCGAGTCCGCCGTCATGTGTGGGCGTGTGAACTCCGCCATCGGCCCTGCCTCACCCCGCCTGGCGTGGCTCGGTAGCAGCCCTCGACGCGGCGCTGCTGCGGCGTGAGGAGCCTCAACTCCGCCGCCCGCAAAGACCGCCGCCGACAAGCGCGCCGCCGCAATCGCTTTCAAGAGCGCCGCCCGGACGTGTCGGGCGGCCTCAATCACGCAACGCCGCCAGCATCCCTCCAAGTGCGGCGTTAGCATCCCCTACACCATCAGATCCTCCATCGACTGCTCTAGGTACGTACCAAGGCAGGGAGGCGGTTCATGTGCTTGTTTCTATTCTTGTTTTTGCAAGTCCTCGGCGGCTCGAGAGCGAGCACACGCACAATGTGCGCGCAGCGCGCGACGGGGATGGCCGACGGTGGCCCTTCCAGCGCTGCAGCGTGTCTGCGCAGAGAGTACGAGTGGTACCGGTCGCTCCGCTCAGGGGCGCAGCGGCAATGACCGACCGCCTCTTGCGCGGCCGCCACCGCGCCGCCGCGCGGCGGCGGGCGCGCCGTGTTCCGACGTACAAAAGGTGAAGTGGTGCAAGCAGTCGGGGGAGCGAGGGATAGGGACTCACCAAGGTTCGAACGTAGGCGGCGGTTATCTTGGATAAGGTCAGGGCGGTGCCGGCCACGTGCGCGGTGGAGGTGGGCAGAGACGGCGACGAAAACGCACGCGACGGCGAGGGCATCGGGCTCGGTTCCAACTCAACGGCGTACACGCGCAAGGGACGGAGGGAGCTTGGCGAGGCCGGCAGTCCTTCGAGTTCCGGGCGGCAGGGTTTGGTTGAGTCTGTCCACGCGAGCGCCCAGTACGGTGGCCATGTCGGGCTGCGACGAGCTTCGTGTGCTCACGCTGGTCGACGATTCTCACTACGGTCTTCTCCAGGGTCTAGATAGGAAGCTAAGGCAGGGGTGTATGAGATGAATTGGGGAGAGATGGATTGGGCACGACGAATTTTGGAAATGGATGGCGCTGGTGCTGGCGTACCACAACAGCTTTGTGGTGCTCTTCACGGACGACCGGGACATGCAGGCGGCTGTGGGGAAGGTGGCGCACCTGCTGGCGGCGACCATGGTGCTCAACAGCGTGTAGCCGGTGATCTCCGGGGTGGCCATCGGCGGCGGCTGGCAGGCGCTGGTCGCCTACATCAACCTCGGCTGCTACTACGCCGGTGCAGTTCGGTTGAGTCGATGACGCGTAGGTCCCACATTGGACAAAACCGCTCCACGTTGGACAAAACAGATTCACCCGCGTCCAGGTGCTAAAAGTGAACGGTTTTAACAGTTGGGGTACTAGCATTAGACGGTTTTACAGTTAAGGGTCAAAATTATACCAACATGATTGTTGAGGAGCTAAAAGTTGACTTAATCCAATTTTATACGAGGCAAATGATTGGGCATTTTTGGGGTAGTTTTTTCTTTCTTTTTTGGGCTAGCAAAAACAAAAAGTAGCTCCATGACAGAGATAGCCAGATAGGTCGGGAGGAGTATAATCATTTTCACTTACGAATATGGGCCGGGCCAGGCCGGTATCTCGGGGTCTCAACTCAAAACAGCGACGCCCTTGACCTGGACTGCGTGTGTTTGGTTCTGACGAATGGGGTGGATCTGTGGAGTGAAATAAGTTGATCTATCACCACCTTATTCATTATAAGGTAACAATTAATATAAGCATAAGGAATAGGTTGATTCCATTAAAATTTATGGGATGAACTCATCATGCATCAACTCATGAATCACATCTGCACGTGGTGACTCCAACCAAACACACTAAATTCTATCTCTTTTTTTATACATGTATAAAGTAGTATATACGCCCTCGGGGATGAAGCAAACTATGTACGATACTGATTTAGGTCCTATTCACTTGTTTTATGAGCCGTACTATTTTAGCGAACGAATAGTGGTTTTCTCTCACAATAAATTAGCGAACAGTACTTTTAGCCATGGAATTTTCAGCGAAGCGAACAGGGTCTTATTCTCTCTTTTTTCGCTGTTTTTAATGTACGAGACTGATTTATTCTTTTTTTCCTGCTCTTAATTAATGTACGAGACTGATTTATTCATGCAACGGAGAAGCAGGGCGCTGCCAAATGCCAACTCGTCGGTTCCATTCCATCCTTGGATTTGTCGCTCGGTCGCCGGCCGGCCTGGCTCCTCTCTTGGTTCTTTCTTCCGCGTAGCCCAACAAGGAGAGAACAAAACAACCGCCCTTGCACTGGATCCATCACAATCACAGGAACGGCAGCAACAAGGCCGCCACAGAGACGCGATCCCCGCCGTCTCCCCGCTCGCCCGCCTTGTTCACTCAGTGCGCTCTCGCACTACACGTGCCATGCCGCATGCAGCGAGGAGGAGCCGCCGCAGCCGACGCTGTTAGCAAGCGACGATGGAGATGGCGAGCGCGCGGAGGAGGGCGAAGCTGCCGCAGGCAGCCGGCGGAGGAGACCAGCAGCTCGCGCTGTGGGCCGCCTGCGTGCTCCTCTCCTCCCTCTCGCTGCTCATCGCCGCCGCTTCCTCGGGCCTCGGCGGCGCCGCGAGGTTCACGCTCACGCTCACGGCCGGCCAGGACCGGGAGGCCGGTGCGCTCGTGATGAGGGCAACCGGCGCCGCCGCCGTTCGCGGAGCGGCGGGCGACGGCAGGAGATACTGCGATGAGGACGACGATCTGATCCGCGGCATGTCCGTGGACGGGGAGTGGGTGCTGCGCGACGCCGACGAGTCCGAGCGGCACTACGGGCCCGGGCAGTGCCCGTTTGTCGACGAGGGGTTCCGGTGCAGGGAGAACGGCAGGCCGGACGGCCAGTACGCCGAGTGGGCATGGCGGCCGAGGCGCTGCGCGCTGCCAAGGTTCCCAACTCCCAAGCATGTGCATGCATATCTATCTATTGCACCTGGAAGCCGTGCGCACGCTGGCTTCGTCCTCGTTCTCACTACCTTGATCGTGGTCTTCATCATATGGAGTACGTATATGTATATCAGATTCGACGCGGCGAGGCTGCTGGGGATCCTCCGGAACCGGCGGCTGGTGTTCGTGGGCGACTCCATCGGGCGGAACCAGTGGGAGTCCATGCTGTGCATGCTCGCCTCGGCCGTCGCCGACGACGACGGCAAGCAGGGCGGCGCCATATACGAGGAGAACGGGAGCCCCATCACCAAGCACAAGGGCTTCCTCTCCTTCAGGTTCCGCGACTACAACTGCACCGTGGAGCACTACCGGTCGCCGTACCTGGTTCGCCGCGGCCGCCCGCCGCGCCGCTCGCCGAAGCACGTCGTCACCACGCTCCAGCTGGGCGCCATGGATCCCAGGGCTCCCCGGTGGAAGGACGCGGATATCTTGGTGTTCAACACGGGCCACTGGTGGAACCAGGAGAGGCTACACGAATTGTAAGTCCGTACTGTCACGGCCTAAACTCTTCTCTCTCTCTCTCAATGTCACGGTCTAATAAACTGCACACTGCAACGATAATCCACTCTGATGATAGAAGAATATAGAATCTAGAGGATTAATTAAGAGAAGAAGTAAGTAAAAAGGTTCGGGAAGAACTTACATATTAAGGCATTGTTTAGATGTTGTCGGATAATTTCACCCTAATCCAGCTCACATATCTGGATTGATGTGAATCCGACTACGTCTAAACAATGCCTAAGACCTTGTTTGTATGTATGTGTATCTACTTCAATCCACGTGTGTTGGAGTGGATTGGAATGTAACTTAGTTTAAATCCACTCCGATCCACTTCAACACACGTGAATTGAGATGAATATATAAGCATCCATACAAGGCCTAACGTGGGGGCAAATTAGGAAGAAGAGGGGGTTAGGGTTTGAGTTATTACATTTCATGCTCACTTGTGTCTATTGCTTTGGTACTCCTAAATAACAATAAGCAATAAGCTGTTTTATTTAATTAGATCATATGGTTCAGATCATCTATATTTTATTTAATTTTAAAATAGCTCATATAAGGAAAGTTTTATATAGAAAATTAGTTTTTATTATAAATTGGTGCATGCTATATTATTTTGTTGCATATGCATGCGTGATCTATATTATTTTGCTAGTCATTAATATAATTCCTAAATTAGAGCATTCAGAAGCTGTTTAATTTGTTTCCTTTTTCTGGCGCACCAAGTGATCTTTTTCTTTTGCATATCATTAATATAATACAGAGAGATTAGGGGACTCGGAAGTTGTTTGTTTCCTTTTTTTTTGAACATGTTGTTTGTTTCCTTTTACTGGCACACCAACGGAGATGGGAAGAGCCACCGTCTTTTATTTTTCTTCCGAGATTTGGGGGGTTTGGCAGTTTTTCTTTTCTTTTTCTACTAGGTTACTTTTTTACTTAATTAATTTATATAAAATCTAAAAAATAAATGGTCCAGTTTGTTTCGACTATTACCTATTACCTCCTACTTATTATCAGGTAATGTGAGTACCGTACCATAAGTCCATACTTATTACAATGGGTCAGGCCAGCGTTCGGACGTAGCTCCCCACGCCCTGCGTATGCTCCGTGCCGCACGCCTCGCTTGCTCGGATTTTGCGCTGCTTTGAACGATTCACCCTACCCATGCTGTCACACCCGGTTTTCATAGACAAAACCAAGTGCACTCACATGTATGCCAGGATCTGTTTAATCATATATGCAACGACAAAATAGTGACACATAGCAGTGTTTATTTCAAAAGCGTACATATTACAAAATGCCCATAGGGTCTAAAACAAAAATTACATCAGAGTTCGAGCGAAACATGGTCTCCATCCCCGCAGGCAGCCGACCGAGGGTACACCAGCCTAGCAACGACACCGTCTTCAGGAAAAACATCGTCTTCTAAGACTCCGTCTTCTAGTCTGAACAGTTGGGTGGGGTAGCAAGGGGACAAAGAGAAGGGTGAGTACATCGAAATGTACTCCACAAGTGTAGAAAATATGACATGAGGCCAACTCAAGGAAAGGCTTACCAAGTTTGACTCAAGCACTTAAGCGACACATCCTATTATACCTTAGGAACCTTAACACCTATTTACTATGTGATATCCGCCTTCTCCTCGGAGAACCACCAGAACCACACTCGGATCCCATCCGAGCCAAACCACACCAGGATTCCATCCAAGCCAACCAACCAGAGCCATCTAATCCCAAAGAAATCCAAGCCGCTCTTGACCATGAGCACGGTTGATATATCAGTTTTACACTCTATAGAGGTTGCACATTTTCACCACGAGTTAGCTAGCCTCTTGACCGAGATAGCTAGCCTCTTGACCCACTTCCAAGGTAGATCGGCAGGGTTCACTACAAAGCCTTTACAAAGCCCCCTCTAAGTCTATTTTACACCTCCACTAGGCGTTTACCCCCTACATAAGTCAAAGACCCCAGGGGATTACTCTTGTGCCACTAAACAAACCCGATGTAGCATAACTCGGAGGAACTAATTAATTGGCCAGGTCCGTCCCATTCCAAAACCTCATGGCTGCGCTGTTAAGCCGGGTTACATGCTTCGAGAACCGGTCCTTGGGATCCAGACAGGATACTAGCACAAACCTAATCCACCAACATCAGCCGCCATACCATGGCATAAACCAACCTCAACCAAACAGTCCATCCTGCCAAATTTACCTACTCACCATGTTACTACCACCAACGGGTTACCAACCCACATAAAAATTGCATAGCTCATTAGTCAAAATTAATATTAAACCTTCCCAACCCAAGACTGCAAGGCTAAGCATGATTCTACCCATCCAACCTAGGGGTTTCAAGGGTGATAAAAACAAGTTCTAGTAAATCCTAACATGTGATTCAAATTTAAACTCTACATATAACTAATGGTCTAGCTACTCTAACTCAAAATAAAATAAATTAGGTGCAAGATGATCAAGGACACTTGCCTCCAAAAAGTTGTCCAGACAGTAGAATGTTTCTTCTCGATCAACCTCGGACATCTTTTCTTCGAGAGATAGCAATCACGGTAAACAAGCATGTGTAAGTCTTGCTACTACGATCGCACGAGCACAAAAACAACTAAAAACTAAGCTACATTAAAAGATATAATATTTTGAAGTTTCAAAGAAGAAATTAAGAATTGAAATTTGATATAAAATAAAACCAGATAAGGGTATTATGGATAGACTATGAGCAGCGAGATAAATATGGAAAATGTCAAGACAGATTCTTGTAGGGAAATTTATGGACCAAAAAGATTATTGAAAGGGTAACAAGGTGGAAATGAATTATGACATCAGCATGATGTGATGCTAACAGGGCAACGCATGAACAAGTAGCATATATATGTATCAGGTATCAAGTTTGGATTTGTGTGGCAGATCATGCAGGAAGCACAACGTGATCATGGAATTTTCCTTGGGTAGTTTACGGGCTGGTGGTGGAGCTTTGCTATGCAGGTTTGGTGTACGACAAACGGCATCCTTTTGATAGTTGCTATATCATGTTGCTGACGAACACCATAACTGCTGGGCATAGATAGGAATGAACGTAGAGAAACATGGGCATATATGCTTCTCACCTGTGCGTGACTTTCGCTGGTGAAATGATCGTCGGCAAGGCAAAGGGAGACTGCGGCAGCGTGGTACACGATGAAACAAAACGGTACATCAGCAGCACGTGTCTAGCAGTGAGGAGAGGTCCAGAGTACCAAAGGCGGCTTTAAGTCTGGAGATTTCAAGCACAAGAATCACGAAAGAATAAAAGGGAATCGGTCGGTTAGGTTTCTTGTGCTAAAACCTGTCCAACCGGATTTAAATTCTCGACTTAGCGTGGGTGCTCGTATTTTTCCGAATTTATTCTAGGATTTAACGACGATATGCTTTCACTGGTAGGCGACGTCCCGTTGACAGCGAGACGTCAGTGGTGACTTCGTGAATCTCGAGATCTGCCGGCTCAGTCATTCGGAGGTGCTCATAGGGGTAGGGTTTACGTGCGTGTGTTTATAGGAGTGAGCATGCATGCGTATTGTGGACGTCCGCGTTGTACTATATAATTCTTAAAAAAAAAGACAGACTGCAACAACCATTCTTGATATGGACGAGCAAGAGGAAACCTCACCAGCACTGTGCACAGCGGCAGCGCGGCGAGGACGAAGTAACGATGACGATGGAATTGCTTCTGTAGGGAGAGACGGGGTATGAGGAGGTGCCGAGATTCTGTGTGAGCATGGGTGACCCAAAGTGTGCTGCTCTATTTATACGGAGAGAGAGGTTAGCAGCCAGCATGTGATGTTAATCCCGGTTGATGGTGGAGCTTCCGTTGCCACTTGCCACTACATGCGATTCATATTTTGTGGGGTGGAAACTGATAGAAGATAAATGAAGCAATCAGTTGTGCTTGTTTATGGACAACTGGGCATCGGTGGAGTTTTATTGATCCACTAGAAAAAAATACTTTATTAAGCGGTCATGGCATGCAACAGGAGGAGAGGTAACGCTCAAAGAGGAAGGCAATAATGGTGATCCGCGGCGCATGCGTGACAAGAAGACTTGGCTGGCTTATTTGCTGGTGGTACATGCATGCTTGGGATTAAATGACGTGCAAGGAAAAGAGGTCCAGGGGGAAAAAGTGACTTGCACATTTTGTAGAGAAGGAGATTAAAGGGCCAAGGAAGAGACGATACAATGCATGAACTTGGTTTGCAAAACTATAAAACTTGATTTTAATATTATTTGTGATTTCAAAAATATTTAAATAAAATTTTGAAATAATTTAAACTATACTTTGAAGCATTTTTTTACTTTATAAATAGAACAAAAACCTATTAGCATCCTAATCGGATTTCTAAATCCATTTTCACCCAATAAAGTTTAATGCAAAGGCATGAGTGCAAACGAACATATGAAATTAAATTCTAAAAATTTTGGAAAAACATATTTTTACACTTTAAATTGTCAACAACTAAATAAATCTTGTAAATTTTTAGAAAACATATAAAATCATTTATTTTATTTAGTGTTTTCTATTCACAACCCAAAATCAAAATTTTGGGGTGTGACAGACTACCCCATAACAGGAATCTCGCCCCGAGATTCGCTGAAGCTACATTCATTAAAAAAAACCAAATCACTCAAGTTCATAACAACAAATCAAACAACCGCCTAAGTGCACACTAACATGATAGGGTCCTTAATGGAAAGCACACTAGCATACAACTTAGCATCATTACTAACGTAAAAGCGCCTAGGCTCAAAAACTTCCTATAAAGGGCATAGGATAGAGGTCTTGAAAATCTTCGGTCTTGACAGGAATGATTCTTATTGACTGCTTGACGTCGAGATCTTCATCTTGTCAAACAACTTCAACTCTCGAAGTAGAATCTTGAACTCCTTATTGATCTTGAAGAATAAAGGGCTCTGGTGAAATACTTTTATAAATAGAGCATAGAAGGAGCAAGACAAGTTTAGTTTGTATGAAATTAGCTTTAGAAAACGGCCATTGCTAACTAAGGCTGACGTCCTACGGTCAACAGCCCGCCCCTATGCGGGCCCACACCACCCGAACATCACCAGCATCGAGAAGAGGAGAGACAATAAGATGAGGTAGCAGAAGGCGAGGAGGGAGATGCAACACCCGATCTACTTTTCAAACATTCAAATGAAACATTTGCAACATAAGTTCGAAACAGTTGAAACACTTACAACATATGTCTGAAACACTTGTAAAAAGACCTGAAAAACGCTTGAAAAAGCCATTGCAAATTATATACAACATCCAAACAAAACATATGCAATATCCTGATAAACACACTTGCAACACGCGTCGGAAAAAAAAGATGAAACATTGGGAACGGAAGCTTGCAACATACATGCACAACCATTGCAACATAAGCAACACACCGATCTACTTATGCAACATCCATGTGAAACAAATTACAACATGCATATGAAACACTTGAAACATACACTTGCAACATGTGTTTTCACCCTTCTTCCGGATGACGCAAAGCAGAGCGGGGAACGGCCGGTTCCGCCACCGGCAACCGAGGATGGTGTCACGGCATGGCAGCGGCCAGCTAGCGCCTACACCTGGCCTGGTCTGGCCACTCTGGATCTCTGATGTCGCGAACTGAGAACGAAGCGTCGTAGCGGCGCCGACATCGAAGCGGCCACGACCTTCTGGTGGGGAATGGCGGCGTCGGTAGCACCTCGGCACCACCTCGACACGGCGGGGGGACGGGGCATGGCGCTCAACTACGGGACACGGGGCACGCCGCATAGGGGCGGGGAAGGGGCGCAGCGATGTGGAGCGTGCGCGCGCAGCGGTAGACGCGGCGCGGGATGGGGGCGCTGCGTGACGTGAGGCGGAGAGGAGGCGAAGCGAAGCGGCGACGCGAAGCGAAGCGAGTGGGTATTGGGGATTTTTTTTGGGGATTTCTGAGGAGCAGACCCGTTGTTAATTTGTTTCTCCTGTACTGACGTACGTACTGTACGTGTGGTGAAATATTTGAAGAGGATGCTACTTCCAGGACGGCAAGACGGTGCGGCTGAACATGAGCGTGGAGGACGCCTACCAAAGGGCGCTGAAGACGCTGCAGAAATGGGTCCAGAAGGAAGTAAACACCACAAAAACACTGGTCGTCCTCCGAACATACTCACCGGCACATGTAAGCAGGTACAGTACATTACATTACATACGGTGATCGATCGAGCAGCTTGCATTGCATTGCATTGCTTGCTTGCTTCCTACTCCTACTTAACTTGTAGATGGTGCCTGGTGCCGGCCGGTGGTGGTGCATATATGCAGGGCTTCCAACGGCAGTGGAGGCTGGTGTGGCAGGGAGACGGTGCCGGAGCAGAACACGTCCAGGATCGCGCTGCACCGGTGGCCGGGCCTGCTGAACCCGAGCCCGGCTTTTATTGAAGCGGCGGCGGCGGCGGCGGCGAAGAAGCAGAAGAAGAAGAAGCGGCGGCGGCCAGTGATGCATGTCCTGAACGTGACCCTGATGACGGCGCAGCGGCGAGACGGCCACCCGTCGGTGTACAACGTCGTCCGCCTCCCGTCGCCGGCGGGGGTGCAGGCGCAGCAGGAGCAGGTGATGAGGGCGGCGGACTGCAGCCACTGGTGCCTGCCCGGCGTGCCGGACGCGTGGAACCAGCTCCTCTACGCTTTGATTCTACGTAGTAGTATGTCAGGAGGATCGGATTGGATCGGAGCTACTCCGTAGTAGTTAGTATAGCTAGCTAGTACCTAGCTGAGGTGTTTTTATTTATTTATTTATATTAATTATATATATAAATTAATTCTCCTAATAATAATATCAATGACGTGTCCGGCCCAATTTTCCATTTCCCTAAACACTCCCAATTGCAACTTATCATGAATAATAGATTGAGAAAGCCTTGCACGGAGTAGTCAATTTACAAAATCATAATTTAGATCGACTCGTATGCCGCTATGCGGTATGTTTCTTATTATATTAATTAATGGATGGATTATTGTATACCAATCAATAATTTGAAAATTACACGGGACGAGATGCTAAAAATTCATCTTTCCTTTGATTCCTTGGTAGTACAGAGGAGATGTTTTGACTCTTAAAAAAATTAAAATAACTTATAATTTAGAATGAAGAGAGTATATAATAACTAAAAGTTCTTAGGACGGCAAAAATGTGTACCGTATGCTGCCTTAGAGTCGTTTGCATGCCGCAATGGAGTTATCATGGTAGATCGTGATGGTCCCTGTTCCTAGCACAGCAACAGGCGGGCAACAACACAACACAGCATCTGTTACGCCAGCAGTAGCAGGAGGCAACAGAGAAGGCGTAGATGGGTCATGCATGGCCGGTGTACGTATCTCTCGAGGTGATTGTGATCCCATCGTGAAGAGTGATGTCGCGCGCGCGTGGGCGTCGATGAGCGAACGAACAAAAAATTAAAGGAGATAGACCCGTGCGGCCGCACGGCATATATGTGTCTACTGTCTTATATATATATTCCATCAGTACTCAAAAATAAAGTTATTTTTAACAGCGACATGGTCTTCAAAGTATTACTTTTGACTTTTTATTTTTATAAAAATATTTATCAAAAAGTGATATATGTATATTTTTATGAAAATATTTTTCAAGATAAATCTATTTATATGACTTTCACATTTCCAAACTCAACAACTTAAAAGTTATTCATGATTTATATTCCCAATGTTTGACTCAAATCTTGTCCGAAACGACTTTATTTTTTTAGTACGGAGGGAGTATTAAATTAATAATAAATATTTGATGATGTAACAAAGCGATCATCATAAAGTTAAATGGAGTTTCTAGTTGAGTTGATTCTTGATAACGACACTACTTTCATGCATATATATGTTACTCATTCATACATAATTGTTCTCACATAATAGTTATAACGCACGGGTAAAATTCTAGCAAGTAGCAATAAGCAGTAAAATGCATGTCCAGTGATGATGTATTACTGTCAGTCTTAGCATAGCACAGGAGAAGCCTTCTCTTGAGCCTTAATACAGAATCTTCTCATCTCTCGTTTCTCTTGCTGCGGTCTTGCAGAGGCTTCTCCGATGCATAAGAGTATGTCCAAGTATAAACATTGTTGCATTGCTTGGTTAATGTCAATTTTTGCTTTGATGCTGGAACTATAAGAGTTCTTCAAAACTCGATATCTTGTTGTCATGTATCGATATTAGGGATATCTAAAGCAAGGACGTTGACTTCCCCGGATGGCTCGAGACGTATTAAAAGGTCTCGCCCGACTCCAAGGCCGCGGGCTCCGTCTCGTCCGACCTCGAGGCCGCAGGCTCCGTCTCGCCCGACCCCAAGGACGCGGGTTCTGTCTCGCCCAAGGCTGCGGACTCCGTCTCGCCCGACCTCGAGGCCGCGGGCTCCGTCTCGCCTGACCCCAAGGACGCGGTTTCCGTCTCGCCCAAGGTCGCGGGCTCCGTCTCGCCCGACCTCGAGGACACGGGTTCCGTCTCGTCCGACGAGGAACCATACCGTCGCCAACCACTCTAGGTCCAAGCGTATGAGCCTGGGTCAAAACTCTGACGCTGGGGAAGAGGCTAGCACGCCTCGATGTAACCTGTGGCCATGACGGATCATACCTGGGGATTCACATCAAGAACAGTGTCGGACGTGCCGGTGCTGTTCTGCATAACCCTCGTACGGACGCTGACAGGCACGTCAGTTCACCACGACGTCCGGCGGGATGGAGTGGAACGCCATGACCGGCAGATGACGCCTGCACATGGCACCAGTGACGAACAGGGGCACGACATGGAGCCGTCCCTGTTGACATCTACATGATCGGCGGGACCCGTATGAAGGAGAAGAAGGACCCGGCAACCCTGAAAGCCTTCTTCTCTCTCGTTCTTCTCATTTTCCTCCTCTATAACCCGCGTTTTCCCTTCGCCTATAAAAGGGGAAGCAGGGCACCCCATGAAAGGGGATCTTGACACAAGAGCACGACACGACCACACGGCTAAGCAACAAGCGAGCTCCCAGCACCCGTTCACTCCTTCCACCAGAAATTTGGGATCCTCTCCCTCTCTCGCCTGTTTGTAACCCCTACCGCAAACCCAGTGCCGGTAACACGAGCAGCAGCGAACTGGACGTAGGGACGTTCCGCCCGAACCAGTATAAACCCTTGTGTCCCTAGCACATCATCCGAGCCAGGCGCGCAAATACAAATTTACTCGTCGGTGGTCCGAAAACACTAACACTTGTAGACCTCCTACGAAAGCTCCATCCACTTTTATGTTTTATCTGATATATATGGCCTTCAGCGTGAAATTCAGTAATTGATACGAGGAATAGGAATTGTAAATTCTACGGTTACTTTCCACACACACATAATACAAAAGAACTAAATAACATATATATTGTAAAAGTGGAAGTACTGCTCCGTCCGTTTAGAATTGTAAGTCGTTTTGACTTTTTAGATTCATAGTTTTCATTATGTATATATCCACACATAGTATGTGCATATCTAGGTGCCCAAAAAAACTATGTAACTATAAAACCCAAAATGATAGCAATTTAGAGCAGAGGAAGGACTATTTATTTTTATCTAATATTTATGTTTTATATTGTTTCCTGTCACACCCAATTTTAAGGATAAAATTGAATGCACAAAACTCGTGTGTGCCTAGGAATCAATCACACACACAAGCTGACAAATTACATAGAGTATCATTACGGTGTCTCATACACCAGAGTTATAATAAAACTTAGTCTTATACATCACAGCGGAATACTAAAAAGATAATAAAACTCTCGTGGCCGTCATCACAGGGAAGGTCAACTGGTTGACCACAAGCCTAATAATCCTCCGGGAAATCCTCATACCCGTTGTCATCTGTTACCCATCCGGGATTTTTATCCAAGTAAAGAAAATAAACAAGTGTAAGTACATTCCGTACTTAGCAAGATAACATGGGGTTATGAAGCTCAAAAAGGATAGACTCTGGTTTACTGCAGTTAGCATTTTTAATAGGTCAAGCTTTTATTCTCAAGTATTATCAAGTTATGCTTAAGCTCCCATTAAATTCCCATAAGAACATATATCGGGGTCAAGTGTACCATATATCATCATTGAACAACTTTAAATTATCATCAACAAGTAATCAGTTATTCTGTGAGTTTTCCGGGCCGCTCGTAACCGTGAGCACGGTTGTTATAACAGTTTGTTACCCTCTGCAGAGGTGGTGCACATTCACCGCGAGTCGTGATCCCCATATGCCCGGGTTAATTACTCCCATGTCACTTCCAAGGTGAGCGGGCAGGGTACACTATAAAGCCATTTCATAGGTTTCCCTAACAAGTTAGGGCCGCTAGGTTTCCTTGGCAGGCAGATGTAGGAACCCCCCTTTCCTATGGCACATATCCATCGCGACTATACACATAGGAACAGAGGCAGTCCTATACCCAACGTGGCAAGCTCTATTTGCGTCAAAAAGATAACCTCTAACCAGCTAGGAAAGGTCCTATTACTGAGCTAAAGCCAGAGCCATATGACTCTCCCGGTTGCACTGTCAGTCCCAGCTTTTGCCGACAGATAAGTCCTTATGGAGGGCCGGGAGCAACATGAACAAAGGTCATTTGCACTTTCGCCCTATGGAACAGTTGTTATAAATCATGTTACTCACTTTGTTCCATAGTATCATTCATCAACAGGTATATCAAGTTCAGTTAGAGCACTAGCAATCTATCCATATGCATTTAACCCATAGGAGACAAGGAACAGGATAAACAATCACTAGGATGTCCTTACGGGTATTAAAATTAGACACATGCAAATGAGTAATTGATTAAAGTGAGATAGGACATCAAGGAAGGCCCATGTTATACTTGCCTTGGTTCACAAACTCGTGGTTGGTCCTCCTGGTCGTCAAGAGTTCTTGGTCTCCCACGCTTTCCTCACCGTCCCGAACGCGATCAACACAAAGAACATACGACATTCCAAAAGCATTCATGCAAAGCAAACATTCCTATCATTAGAACAATACACCAACAGTATTGAAATCAAGATAAAATGTTTGTAAAACTAATCTACGTCTCGCTACGATCACGTCAACGCGAAGTTCACAAAAAACGGAGCTAAAATGCGAAAGTTATGATTTAAACGGGTTTTCCTATAGCCATATATTTAATTAAATCTAATCATGAAATTAAAAAGTTTCAAACTTGACTAACAGTAGCTCCAACATGTAGCTTATGAAATTACGAAGCTAACGCGATTTGAATGGATCAATTCGGAGCTAAAACGACAATCTTATAAGCAAAACAGTTCAAATGGCATTTCTGTAATTACTGAAAACGTATTTTTGACTTAAGCCGTGGAGTTTACGTTTTCCAAACGAGATTGCGCATTCGGGAAACTACGCCTTAGACTGCGGGTTCAAATAGGTGAATCCAGGAGGGCTCTTTAGCAAATCTACCCGCCAAGGGGTATTGTACCGAGAGCCGTTGGATCAAGATCGGAACGGCACGGATTAGATCGGGGAGGGAGAGGAAGGAAGGGGTGGCCGAACGAACAGTTTTCACATGGGGTGCCATTGCCGACGACGAGGAGCTCGCGGCCAAGACGGAAACTCAGCCCATGGGCCACGGTGCCCAACCGAGGCCACGGGATGATCTGGGGAAGATGGCGAGTCCACCCGACAAAACACACCGGGATGGCTCATGGCATGGCATGACCATACCGGCAGCGGAGGAGGAGCTCACCAACAAGACGACACGCAGCCACACAGCCACAAAATGCCAAGGGAAAAGATCGGGAGAGAGAGAGAGCGAGGGGTTCTCACCATGGGAAAAGCGAGGACGGGAAGGCTCGGGGCGGGCGCAGTCCGTGGCGGAGGTGAGGACAGCGGATCGGCGGAGCTCTTCCGTCTGGGCGGTTGGGGCTTCCGAGGCGTGAACGCGAGAGAAAAAAGCGCTGGGAGCAGCAGGGCGCTGCTGGGGGCTCGGCTCCTATTTATCGAGGCCGAGGAGCCGGGGACGCCCCCACGACCGGGCGGCGTATGGCGGTTGCTCAGCAGGGGAGGTGGGGAGGAGCCGACAAGCGGGGCCGGATCAGCAGCTGTCACAAGCATGCGCAAGCCTTGCTGCAGCAAGGCTGGGCAAAATTCTTGGGCCGAGCCGGCCGAGGAGGCTGCCTGGTCATGGCCCAAGAAGGAGAGAGGGAGAGAGCGATGCGGTCATGGAAAGAAAAAAAGCCATAAGGGCCGAAGTGAGGAAGAGGAGGGAATGGAAGGAAATTTCCTTTTATTTTTATAAATAAAATTTTCCAATCTCATTTTCAAGGTAAATTTGAATTCAATTCAAATTTTAGTCAAAGCTAATCATTACAAAAGCAAATGCACAGCAGCATGAATGCATCAACATGTTTCTATTCCTTATATTTGATTTTAATTTTCCAAAAATTATTAATTTCCTATATTTGAATGCACACAATATAACATAAATAAATCAAATTTACTATTTTAAAAGATTGCAAATTTTAGGGTGTTACATTTCCTTTTTATCCAAATTTAGGTAGTGAAGGTCTATTGGTCTATGCACTAATTTATTTCATAAAAAATGGTGCGTTACTTTGTGAACTTAGATCATCTCCAAAAGAGTTCTCAAAACACCCCTCCAATTCAAAATTTTTGGTAAGATTGAAAAAAAACACCATCAACAACTCCAAACCCTAGTCCCCAATCTTTTATCACTTGGGAAACCGAGCCACCCGCATGGGAAAATACACGCAGTTGCGCGTTCGCGTGTCCTCAGCGCCAGGTTTCTCGGGCGATCTGCTCCTTCGCAGCCGTCCCTAGACTTGTTTGGCTACCCCTAGGCTGGCCTTGCCTGCCTACGGCCGGCTGGCCCTGGTTGTCGTGCCCTGTCTGGCTGCTGGCTGCCTGTGGGCGGTTGTGGCTGGCTGCTTGGCGGCTGTGGCGAGGCGTGGTGGCCGTGGCGTGGATGGAGGCGGCCACGATCAGGATGTAGGCGCAGACGTGATCTCCCGTGTGTCCAAGTTTTTGATACTTTAGGAGTTACTTTTTGAAAACTGTTGGAGAGACCCTGCTGCTCCCAATTATTTTTGGCAACTTAGAAAACTCAAGGATTTTGAGAACTAAATTTTAAGAACTCTTAGAGATGCTCTTAAAAAAGTGTACTGAACTAATTTTTTGGTAATACTTGGTGACAAAGTGCACCACTTAAAAGTTTGCATGTATTGATATGTAGTAAGTGAAGACTAAAAATGGCAAGCAAAATATCTCCGATTCATTAAGTGAACTTGACGTGGATTGTGAACTTTTAGGACGTAGACCTCTGCGTGAGAGACGAGAAGGAAGAAGGAGATGAAGAGACTGACGCGCCAGCCCATAGTGGCAGTGAGACAAAAGAGACCCACTCATGGGCTCCAATTTGGTGGTTGTTGGGCCGACTCAGCAGATCCACCGTGAAGCTCTCACAAACACTTCAACGGGGAACAGTGGGATCTCAATCCATGATGGAGCTGCTCTAGGTTGGATTTGGTTTTTCAGAGTTAGAGCTCTACTAAACAATATAAAAGCGAGACAGAAGAAGGATGATTAAAAAACTAAAAATAAAAAGATTGGAAGAAATACTTCGCTCTTTAATACTAAAAGTACGTAGATATAAATTTACCCTGACTAATACGTAGACTTGTACATAAAGATAAACTCTAAACCTTGTTTATTTTTCATTTCTTTTCTACACATGCAAAGTGTAAGTAACTAAGTTTTCTCGAAACAGGACATACTTGCATGCGCGTATTCTCGTAAGATTCTTTGCATTGGATGGACGCCGCACTTGCATGTATTATTTTAGATGGAAAAGACCTGTTTTGCTTAGAGCATTTTGCACCGGTAATCTTGAATCTGGAGTTTCTGTTCCAGGCGATCTTTTACCGGAAGGTAGGCAACGTCTTCTCCCAGAGCGTGCGTGGGGCGGGAAACCCCCCTGACCTAAATATAGCAACGACTAGATTAAATTAAACCAGTTGATCCTGAATTTCCTGACATCCACTCATATTTTACACGATCACCTCTCTCTCTCTCTCTCTCTCTCTCTCTCTCTCTCTCTCTCTCTCTCTCTCTCTCTCTCTCTCTCTCTCTATATATATATATATATATATATATATATATATATATATATATATATATATATATATATATATATATATATATCTGCAGCTGGCCATAGAACAGTAGTTATATATATATGCTAAGGTAAAGACGACCCTCATCTTTCCCCACTAATAACATAAGTAGCGCCGGCCGTGCCACCAAGAATAAAAAAGTTCTCTCAATCTCAGTCTCAGAAGAAAAGAAGGGCGGGCCGGGCGATCATGGCGGCAAAGAAGGTGGGCAGCTGGCGTCTCATCATCGTGGCGGCGCTAGTGCTGCTGGGCCTGCTGCTGTTGGCGGGGCTGCAGGAGGCTGACGCCGCCGACCTGTGCGCCAGAGATCCCCTTTTCCAAACATTCTGCGACGATGAACCGTCGCCAAATGCATCAGTTGGGCTGGCCGCAGGGCCAGGATCTCTGATGATCACGCGAGAAAGACAGCATGCATTTGGTCTCTACTCTCTACTGCTCATGAATTCTTATATTAATTTATTCAGTCCCTATACTATGTACTTTCTTCGTTCCAATTTATGGGTCGTTCTAATTTACCGTCATACTAAAACGTTTGGAAATGAGCGATCGAAAATAACAAAATACTGTAGGCCAGCTGTTCAGACTTCCGACAAGCAGAATAGTCAGACTCCCTTAAAAAAAAGAATAATCGGACAGTTGGCACATATTCCTTGTATTATGTTCCCTAATTGGAGGTGTCCTTGACTGAAAATCTTCGATGCTGGATGAACATTTCAGCTCCAACTGAAGCTTGCACAGTGCAGTAGCCATTGACAAGGTCCCTGTCCATCTGTACTTATATGTCAACGATTAATTCCGCAAGAAATCATGGTAACAAGATTATAAATACTTAACAAACTATATACTGTTGAAGAATTCCAATTTAAATAAGTGTTATTTCTGTAAAAAAAAATACTCCATTCAGTACCTGCAATGTTTTTTTTTTGTGACTTCAGTACCTGCAATGTTGCAAAGCACGGTCCATATTAGTTACTCTGTCATTCAGTTACCGCTGTGAAGAATGGAGGATTTGCATTATGCTCCTTACCTCTAATTAAAGTTTCACATGCATATGCTCTTATCATCAGATGGCAACAACCATATTATCGTCTCGGACAGACATTGATTTCTTATATAATGTAATCCTCGGCATCACTTATATAGGAGTCTGTCAGCCATGTAACTGCATTGGCTAAAGTGCATTTCTTCTTATCAAGCTGGCCTACTTTGGCCGCTAACCAGCCGGTCCACATCACCTCAAATTGTTTTCACCGTTGGATTTCGCGATCTACGGCCCTGGTTGCTCCCACCGATTCCTACAGTAACCGCTTCGAAATATCTACTCCCCGCGCGTCCGCACCCTCCCGTCGTCCCGTCAAAAAAAAAGAAAGAAAACCCCGTCTCCCTCAATGTCTCCACGACGCTCGCTGCCCCCCTTCCAGCGATGCGCCGCGCGCACGCGTATCCTATCAGTTCAGGTGACATTCTCCCTTCGATTGTATAACAGCCGCAATTCTCCGTGGAGTGTGGCCCGCCGCCGGTTGAGCGTTTGCAGAGACTCTTGTGAGAGACTAATTGCAATCTGACTAGCTCTAGGCCAAACAGAATCGAGCTACTCTACTTGTGGATTCACTGATGGACCACATAAACTGTATCATAATTAACAAAGATATACTGATGCCTCGTATTGGGTTGTGGCTAAACAAACTGATCGATACACTGGGCATTCAACACAGGGAAAACTAAAGCCAACGTGCCATCTCGGAAGTGCATGGTTACAGTACCACTCTGGACAGTCTGTGTTATATATCCCAAAAAAAGAGAGCTATGTTACAAAGCCACTCTCAATCTTCATCAGGTAAGTTGGAGATTGGGTCCCTATCCACCCTGTGCTTCTTTCGCTTGAGCTTTGGCAGTGCCATTATCCAGGAAGGCACTTCACAGCCTGAAGATACCAACACATTGGCGATATTCCTCAAAAATGGCTTGTCCTCCTCTGTGAAGAACGTGACAGCCTCCCCAGACCTACCAGCTCTTCCGCATCGTCCTGTACAGAGGAAATATAGATACATTTATAAGGCATTTCAGTATCACAAGGTGCCCACACCAGATGCACATATGCAAACTAATGTGACTGCAAACTAATTAAAGGATCACTTAATAATCTTATTAGTGCAAGAAAAAGCTGGACACGTTTATATCTGATAAGTATTCAAAGAAAGGAACCTAACAGGCACGATGATAAGCCATATTTGAAAAGAAACTAATCTAAAGTTCTATTATATTTCTATATAAATTCATAACCATGAATCAATATTGAGCCAATCAAATGTAGGAGTACATCAGAGCTCAGGCATCAACATTGTCAGTGTGCAGGCAGAAGTGTCTGCGTCAGTCAAATCCAAATGTCTTTCTTACCTATCCTGTGAATATAGGCAGCAGCTGACTCCGGAAAATCATAGTTTATCACGCAGTTTACACCTTTGAAGTCCATTCCCCGGGCAATGACTTCTGTTGCTATCAGTACCCAGGTCTTTCCAGCTCTCAAATTGTCAACAGCATCTTGACGCTGCAGTAAAGCAAACATATGTTGACAACATGTGAACCTGATACAAAAGTACCGCAACTCTAAACAAAATAGCACCGACGTCTCTGAAATATAGCAGTAACAATAATATGCAAAGCAATACCTGCTGCTCATTGAGATCTGCATGAATTGCATCAACTCTAACGTCGTCAAATGCCAGTTCTTTGTAAAGCTCTTTGGCCCTCTCTTTGCTTTGAACAAAAATCAATACTGGAGGATTGAGAGACTGCAGTTCATGAAAAAAAAATCTGATGAGAAATAAGTAACATTATCTAAAAACATTATAAAAAAGAAACCTTCATGTATAACAGTATTTTTAGTTAGGTATTTTTCAAATATTATGTTCAAAAACATAATTGCAGCAGCAGACTATGTCCATGTCTGACATTGTTATCCATATGTGTGCACTGTTAGCGCATAAATGCGTAGTACATGGAACTGTAGAGAGCTAAGCTCAGCGTTAACAATGCAATTCGTGCAGCAACAGTATTTTATACTTCAAATAACTGCAATTCACAAGTGAAATTCCATGCAGATACATTTGCATTCCTTGGTTTACCCATATTTGGAACCCTGAAAGTGCATTGGATATTTGGAACACAGACACAAAACCCGAGAAGGGTTAATAAATACCTCTTGAAAGCTTTGGCGAAGAGCTAGCAACTTTCCCCTCTCAGTTCCAGCGAAAATCAACTTTTGCTTAATCAGTGAGGAGGCCGAATTCCTGTTAAGTTGAACAGAAAGTGATGAAATAACAAAGGAAACAGACCAGATTTAGGTTCATATTTAGAGGAAGAAACTCACTTTCTGCCGACAATGACTCGAATGGCATCATGCATTATAGTGCGTGCAAGAGCCTCAATTGAATCGGGCAAAGTGGCACTGAACAGAGACCGAATTATTGAAGGATTGGAACAGGCTTCAACAACTGAATCAACCACTTCAACAAATCCAAGCTCAAAAAGTTTATCAGATTCATCCAAGACAAGGTATTCCACACTGCAAAGGAGGTTCTGTTATTCAGATTATGCTTTACAATGCGGAAAGAAACAATTCACTAGTTCATCCTTAAATAACAAGAAAACACAGGTGAGTTGGAAAACAGAACAAGGGTAGCTTAACTGATCTTTCGAAATTATGATTCCTAAATTAAATAAATAAGAATAAAGGAATCACAGGCTTTGTACTATTTCTAACAAACAGAACTCTATTTCTGAATGACACATGAAGAATTGTAGCCTCCTACAAGTTTTTTTTTTTTTTTGATGAAATGCTACAAACTGCACAAGTGTGCAATAATCTGTTTTTAAAATAATGTTAGAAAATGGAACACCATGTTTCAGCCATGATTCAAATAATTAAACATAAACCAAAACAACCTGCCAGAAGTGGCCATCAATACATTGCTTATGTGAAACCAAAACCAGTGGAAAACAAAACAGCAAAGGATTCAAAGTCATGCTCACATACCTACTTAAATCAAGGTCTCTTTTCTTTACAGCATGGTCCAAACGAAGTGGGGTGGAAACAAGGATATCACAGTGCATATCTTTGAAATTCCCTGATTTGGATAGTTCTTTGGTCATCAATTTAATATAGTACTTCCTCCCCCTAACCAACTTCTTGCATTCTCTCACAGTTTGTGCAGCCAATTCCCTTGTTGGGCAAAGAATCACGGCTTTAACATCACCTTTTGATCCTGGCTATTAGAACAAAACTCATCAAGAGTCACATCGACCAATCTGAACACTATAGTGCAATACTATAAAGACATACCTTAATTTTCATAAGAAGTGGAAACAAGAAAGCCAGTGTCTTGCCAGAACCAGTAGGTGCACACGCAAAGCATTCCCTACCCTGAAAGTAAGGAATGCAAGATAAATCACCCTAAGGGCTTAAACAATTATAAGAGTTTCCCAGGCAAGAGTATTAAATCCAGAGAGTTCAAACTCACTCACCGAAAGAAGAATGGGCATGGCCTGCCTTTGTATTGGTGTAGGTTCCTGAAAACCAAGTTTTGACAAGTTCCCAACCAAATAAGAATCACAACCATACCTAGTGCAAAAACGAAGTCAACTTAACCACCTCAAATGATTCCATTATAACCATAATCTGAAGTTGATCTGTTATGGTAGAAAATCCTAACCTTGAAATCAATTCTTCAAAGCTCTCAAGTGGTGCTGGAGCATTTTGCCCGCAATGTGGATGTCAAACCTCTTACGAAGAACTGCGGCCCTCTGCAAAGGGAAAAGCAAAATCAAACCAATAAAACTCCAGCCATCTGCCATCCAGATGAAACAGTGATAACAAGCAAACTTTGGAAATTGCAATTGCAAACATAATACATCTAACTGTAATCTCCGGCACTACTGTCAATTCAAGCAGGCTACTGAAGGGGCCACTCCACAAATTTTAGGACACACAGGCTTTTAGTAATAATCAAATCTTCATGAGTGATAATCCAGGTCAACAAAAACTGGCCACTTGCTTACATGAATGGGATAAGCATGTCATGTAATACACCCAACACCAGTGAATTGAAGAATTTCAATTACCTCGATTTCCCTCTCAATCTCCTTCCGCCGCCTCACAGACACCGAATCCTCATCCTTCCTCATATTCATATCCACCTTCAAAGAACGCAGCTCTGCATTATTATCCGCCAATCCCTTGAACACGCTGAACCCCTCCACAACATCTGCAGAGCACAGCACAAGCGGCATGATTGAGTTACCAACGCAATCATTAACTAAGCGGCAAGCCAACCAACCGGTAGCGAACCATACCCGACGAGGCGGCCGCCGCCGCATCTTCGGCTCGCTTCTTCTTATTCTTCTTCGCCTTTGCCTTGCCGCTCTTGCGCTTCCGCTTCTTCTCCGGGGACGGCGCGGAGGGGGCGGCGGCGGCGGCGGATGGGAGAGCCGGGCCTTTACGGAACCGAGCGAAGTCGGCGGCGAAGCGCTTGCGGTCAAAGTGGGTCCCGGCGAAGAGCGCCGATGAGAGCTTCGTGTTCTCCATGGCTCGCCGTCGCCGCCGCGGAGAACCCCCTTGCTCTAAAACCCTAGGCACCCCTGCTTCTCTCTGTGATTGCTGCGGGACCCCCACGCAGTGAGAGAGCTAGTAGAGTTGTCCTGGCGGCCTGTCCCCACGTCACAGCGACAGAGCACTGGAGTAGGGACCAACGCAGCCTCGTGTCTCTGGAGTAGGGGGTGGCCCTATGTTTTTATGGCTGTTGATTAATAACAGAACTTTAACCAGGGATAATTTAGCCGAGCGTAGAAAAGTAGAGGATGCATCTTGTCTTTTCTGTGTGGAGAATGAAAGCTGCCATCATTTATTTTTTGATTGTGTGGTTGCTAGGAGATGCTGGTCAGTTGTCGCTGATTTGTTATGAATACAAGTAGGTGGAGACATAGTTAGTATAGGGCAGTTTTGGTTGAGTGAAAAAAAGTATAGTGTTATTAACATGATAACTTCTGTTGTGTTGTGGTCGATTTGGAAACTCAGGAATGAGCTTTATTTTCAGAGGTCTGGATGGAAAAGTATGAAGATATTGTTCTACAAGATCTTGGGGCTGCTACAGAACTAGATAGTTCTGTGCCCGGTGAACAAAAGGAAGCGGCTGGATGGTTTCCTGGAGGATTTGAAGACTGCAGCAAAGAGGATTTTCTGGCTTCCCAGTTTCACCAGAAACGCAATGCCAAGTTCTTTAGAAGCATGACATCGGTGGGTGGCCAACGATGAAGGTGATCAGTTACCTGGGAAGTGCTCAAGGCTGCTGGTGTTGCCGAGTCTTACCTGATGAAGGAGCTGAAACCTTTCTGGGATGTAATAGGGTGTGGGTCTTTAGTAATGGTCTTAATGCCTGCTTCTGGAGTTTACTTTGTTCTTTGTCTTTTTTGGTTGGTTGCCTGGTAGTGGCTGGGTGAGTATTCACCGTCTGCCAGTTGGGATTGGACGCTCTTTGAGCTAACTGTGCTGTGAAACTTTGGTCTTTTGATATTATTTGAAAGGCTGGGACGTTATGCCCTTGAACTCTAAAAAAAAAGTAGGGGGTGGCCACTGCAGACCCCACTAGTCAGCGAATCTGACAGTGTGGACCCACTCCTCGATGACGCGGCGTCCGCTTCCGCTTGTGGTAGGTATCCGTATCCAGTTCCTTGCTTTGCCCCTCCTCCGCCCCCTTCCTCTCCCTCCCCGCGCTGCCTGCCGTAGGAAGGGGAAGGAAAAATAATAATTCGGCGCGCAAATCTCCGCCTCCATTCGCACGCCGCGATTCTCGTGCGCGATACGCCGCGAGATGATGATCCCGTGGGGCGGGGTGGGGTGTTGCCTCAGCGCTGCGGCGCTGTATCTCCTCGGCAGGAGCAGCGGAAGGTACCGATCCCTGGCGTGTTAATTTTCGGTGCGATTTCAGCGAGATTCATGCTAGTATTTTTATTTTGGTTGTTTGGTGCTCAGGGATGCGGAGGTGCTGCGGTCGGTGGCGAGGGCTGGCAGCATGAAGGATTTAGGTCAGTTTGTGACGGGCTAGGGTTTGGTTAGTCAATTTGTGGTTATTCAGCCTTTGCGAAGGTTCATTGTTTGATTTCATCTATTCTGTTTTTCTATATGATACAAATGATAGTGAAACCGAAGTGTGTATATGTGAAAGGAAAAAAAATAAGCCGCTGTTCTGGCTGATTTGTTGGGGAGGAAAACACCGTTCCGCCTGAAAAACAGTGTTTTTCTCTCGCATCTCTTATATTCCGTCTTTTTCAGCTGGTTTTTTCAGCTGGAACAGTGTTTTCTCTCTCACACCAAATCACCCGGAACAGTGTTTCGGCTTGTTTTTTCAGCGAAGCGAACGGTGGTACTTTTTTATTCTACATATCTGTTGAAATGATCTTAGATTACTACTCCTGATTCTTAGGTTACCACTACTCCACTAGGGTGTTGTCATATGGTTTTGTTCCCTGGTAGAATTGTACCAGGTTTACACTGACCTGACTTGTCATTTTATGATCTATATACACGGTTGTCAAAAAATTGACTGTTCACTTTGATATGCTTGCTTGATTGTTTCTCCAGTCATTTCACTCTATATTTAGGCATATATGTTGGTTTTAGTGTGTGTCGCTAAGACCTCCTAATGGGTGGATACTAACCTATGCTCTCGGTAAAAGTGCAAACAGGATAAGTTTCTCAACTGGGGTTCATATTTGCCAATTAAAGCTTTTGCAGATTTTCTCAGTATACAATCAAGATAGAGAACTGTAGTCTTGTTGTGTTTTGGTTGCTTATAAGAATCTATAAAAGAACTTCAGTTTAGGTGTATATTTTGTACAGAATTTATCGGTCATTTTAATTGTTTGAGTATATGAATGATAATTTTTTTTTTGGCGTGTCTGCACTGTCTTCAACAGCTGCTATCTTGGACACTGCAAGTAAAGTCCTACCACTTGTAGTTGCTGTCTCTGGGAGAGTTGGTTCAGACACACCACTTATATGCCAACAAAGCGGCATGAGAGGTGTAATCGTTGAGGAAACGGTAACTACTGATTTCATTCATTATTTTGTTATTATTACGATGGGTAATGTGATGCAATTAATATAGTATTTCTATTTCTGCTTAACCTTTCTCTTTGTAGGCAGAACAACACTTCCTGAAGCACAACGATGCTGGATCCTGGATTCAAGATTCTGCGGTGATGCTTTCTGTTAGCAAAGAGGTTCCATGGTATCTGGTAACTAACTGCTGTAGCTATTATGCTGTGATTTGCTTTGCTTTTTCAAATATAAGACTTCCAATTTAGCCTGGGCTCGAACTATCACTACTGTCAATATGCTAATTTATGCAAACTTGGGTTTACAACTAAGCTTATGGTCTTTTCTTGGCAAGCTTACTGATTTCGCTTGTTGTGTGGATAAACTCAGCTTATAAGCTCCAAAGCCCCAGCCTTGCTAGCTCTGGCTGGCCAGGCATACACCTTAAATTAGCCCCTAGCTTAGGCAGTGTTGATATCGTACATGAGCTTCTTGTCCCAAATGAATGATAATTCTAAGCATTGGATATGCCAATGGGTATTTAAACGTTTATCAAGTTACAGCTCAGGATGAAAATGAATATGGCTATTCCAGATTTGCTATATGGATCCCTTCATGCAAAAAAAAAATGATATCATTTCTAATAATTTTTATTCGCAGTTTGCAACTGGGAAGCTTCTCTAACCTTTAAACAATCACTAGGATGATGGAACTGGACGCGCATATGTGGTCGGTGCTCGTTCTGCAGCTGGTTTAATTTTAACTGTTGCTAGTGAGGTTTTTGAGGAGTCGGGGAGGACTCTTGTACGTGGAACTCTAGATTATTTACAAGGGTTGAAGGTTTGTCTAATCACATCTTCAACAGTGCCAATACTTATGGAAACACAGCTAGTAATTAAGCAATTATCTCTATAGATGCTGGGAGTAAAGCGAACTGAAAGGGTTCTTCCAACCGGAACCTCATTGACAGTTGTTGGTGAGGTATTATTTCTATTATTCATTGGTCTGTGCTGTGTTGCATTAGTCTTTGTTGACATGTCTAATGTATATTTGTCTCTTCCTTTTGTTCTTTATTCTTGTATTGCATGAACAGGCTATTAAAGATGATGTTGGAACTATTCGAATTCAGCGACCACATAAAGGACCCTTTTATGTATCACCAAAAAGCATTGATCAACTTATTATGAATCTTGGAAAATGGGCCAAGTAGGAAAAATTGTTAGAACATTTTCTTTTGTTCTTAGTTAGGGTATCTTATGCTAGTAGCATGTTTGTGACAGGTTATACCGCCTTGCTTCAATGGGCTTTGCAACATTTGGTGTCTTCCTTCTTGCAAAGCGTGCAATACAACATTTTCTAGAAAGAAAGCGCCGACATGAACTGCAAAAAAGGTGCCTAACTCCTTACGTCACTTCCTTTTAGAACATTCAAATCCAAATGAAATGTAGTAGCATTCTTTAAGGTTTAAGTGTTCGGGTTTTTAAAGAGGTTTATCTTTCTGTTCTGGCCATGATAGAATGTAAATGACTTGCACTATTACAATTTATTGTGTAACTTTGTAATCTTTGTATGCCTTTCTATTGACACATGTGCAACCTGTAGCTAATTTAAAACTTTTGTAGATGTCGCATGAAATTGGAAAGGATGGGTGATTGGGTGAATACGTCGTATGTTCTTAAGCCTGGACACATATTCGGTGACTTGCCTCTTGCAAGTAATGCCGGGACTTACCCTGCCGTATCCACCGTCCAAGGATAGTCCAAAGGCTGGCTAGCGATTTCATCCTAGGATTTGGCTTTACCCGTGAATGACAGGCCGCGAGCCTTTCTCAACACCCTGTGCACTGCATCGGACTAGAAGAGCTGGTGGTTCTTGCTCCACCCCCGGAGGGAGAGGGAGGAGGGCAGGCAGTCGTCAGAACGCCATCGATGAGAAGCAAGCAAGCCACCACCAGGGCGCCAGGTAGCCGCCGAGGAAAGGATGAGCGCTAGCGAGATTAAGATGAGGCCGTGGAAGCAGACTCTTGTGTCCATCCCTACGTGCGCGAACTCGGCCTCCACAGAGGATTCCCGCGCCGCGCCAGAGGATGTTGACGGTTGGGCAGCTGCCTAGATTCCCATGCCATTCCAAAGGATGTTGGAGAAGGGTCGGGACTCCGCAGAGTGGTGCAACTGCGGTATCCTGCAGGGCCGGACCCAATGAGGCCTTTGCTTCTCCAACATCGGGTGCTTCATGGCCTATGCGGACAAACGGTTTGGTGAAGCATGAGGACTTGTTCTACATCCATGGCTGGGCCCTTTTTCGGCCTGATGGTGATTGGCACTTGCGTCAAACATGTGTCAGCAGACTATGACAAGTGTGGCTGCATGGGCACCGAGGTAGTTTCCACGGTAGCACGAGAACATGGTGATGGTGCTTGACCACACCTGCTTCACGTGTTCATGTGCCCATTGCATCGCAGAGGCGCACTAGCTGTCCACCGGTTGCCCATCGCAAGTGAAGCCCTTTTGCGTGGTCACGATAGCAGAGATGATGGCAGCGAGGTCTGTTGGCCCTGAATGCATCGTTGTCTCCAGCTGATGCACCAGTGCCGAGGCAAGGTCAAGCAGATAGCAGAAGTGCGGAGCTCCACCTCACCTGGGGCATGCCACCAGGCCTCTTTCTGCTGAAAATGCTAAGTCTGGGAGGGGAGATAGAGGACGATAGTCGACTGGGAGCAAGCCGTTGGATAGGAAACGGGTGTTGGGGATGGATGCCAAGTCACATGGTAACTTACCAGAGCTACGTTATTGAATCTGCATCCCTTAAGCCTGGGACTAATACCAGTGCTAATAGATTCTGTTTGTGTTTAGTGTTACTGTTACCACAGACTAATGCTAATGCATGTATTTGCATACTAAGGCTTTAGTGAGCACAGAAGATTCTGATACTATTTTTATCCATATAGGGTTCTTAATGCAGCAGCACAAAGGCAAGCTAGAGAAGCTGAAGGTGATTTCCTTATATATTGATATGTTGTATTATTAGTAATTGTCATGTTTAATTATTATCTTGTATTATTTTGTTCAGGGAGCAATGGTTCATTGGACACAGAGCCTAACAGTAAAAAAGACCAATTAGTGTTGGACATATGTGTCATATGCCTTGAGCAAGAGTACAATGCTGTTTTTGTGCCGTAAGTGTTGTATGTTTTCCAGAGCATGAATGTTCTTTGTTGAGAATGAAGCAGCTTGATTTCCTCTATTTTTCTATTTCCGTTTCCTTTTCCATAATTCCAAATATGCTAGGCAACATTATGGTTGTCCTGTTTCCTGTTTACTAGTAGTTTCTTAATTTTTCTCTTAACAGCTTTCCTCATAACTTGACAAAACTTGAATACTGCTAAGGCCTTCTTTGGATGTTGTTGTATTGAGAAACTATAATTTTAGAACCCATTGATCTGCAAAACTATGGTTCACAAAAAAGAGGTCTATAGTGGAGTTTTAAAAACTCGAAAAAGACTACAGTTTTTAGCAATACCATGGTATTCAAAACCATAAAGTTTGTTGCAGTATTTTGCACAATGCTTCACCAAGAAGCCTGAGAAAATAGTCGAACTGCAGATATGCAAATTTCGCTCATAATTTTAATCCTTGCTATCATTGTTGTCGCCACTGAAAGTTTCTGTTTGGATTTTAAAGTGACTTGGTAATTAATCAAATAATTACACAGGTGTGGTCACATGTGTTGCTGTATGGCATGCTCTTCACATTTGACAAACTGCCCACTTTGCCGGAGAAGAATTGACCAAGCTGTCAGAACATTCCGCCATTGACGGTGATATATATATGATGCAAAAAAACTGGCATGGTACCACCACGTGCACTGCTTCTGAAACCAATTGATTATTGGAAGTGCTGGCTGCTGTCAACCAACGACATGAACTGCAATACTGGGGCGAAGCAGCTTCAAGGAGTTTGCTTTTCGAACAAAACAGCGAGTGATACCAGTTGCAAGCTCATAATTGGCGGTTAAGATACTCTCTAGATAGTGCCATTGGGTGCACTTGCCTGTAATGTACTACAATTGTGTACAGGACGCTCTTGTGTAAATGCACGTAGGCTAGCAGCTTGCTTATTGACAACAGTCACAACACTGATGCTGGTAATATTTATTGTTGCCCGATGGGAATTTGTTCCAAGGAATAACAAAATCAGCTCGTTTAGTTGTGATAATCGATTTTTCTGGTGAATAGGAATGAGAGGCGTCTCTTGGGGGTTTCTTTTGTGCCCAGTTGTATTTGGCAGGATCATAGGAAACAGAAGATTTGTAATAAGTTGTATATTTTAAGGCTCATTTTGTAACCTGTACTGTATGTGAAACTCCATGTTGACACATTAGTTTTCTCTCCATGCATGTTCTGTGCTGATTTACAGACGTGCAATAAGGTATAACACTAGGCTGACTTTCAGTGAACGAAATTATGAACTGGGTGGTTATTGCCTTTTGGCCGGGTAATTGTGCGTGCCCCTAATTGTGCATAGTCCCTAAGTTTCTTGTAAGGCGTCATTGGACCTGTCGCCGTCTCCAACTTTTCTATTTTGACTATTAGTATCTCGGAGTATCTTATAATGTTTATGACTAAGTATAACATTATATAAAATTGTTTTCCAAATATGAATCTGATACTTAGATTGAGTGTCAGTCAAAGATTAATGTTTGAATCTTACATTGTTTGCGTGTTTTATAATTACAAAAATAAAAGGAGTGCAAAATTGTTTCACTTTTCTAAATTGCTAAATCGCTGACTAAACACGTGCAAAAGAAACAAAAGGAAATCATATTGGCCTTTACTCCGATATATATAAAAAAAGGAGTATATAGCTCTAATGGTGTGTGTGGGTGTGGGTGTGTGTGTGTATTTGTAAGAGTTTTCTACCATTTTTATTTTTTAATATAATGATATGTAGCTCTCATATAGTATGTAATAAGTTCAAGAGAAAATTTTACTGAAGTCTTATCAATTTTAGCAAACTTAACTATAGTCATTAGGGATAAAAACTTTCTTGTTGTGGGAATGCTATCAGGTTACCATCCGTCTCAATCTAAAAAAAGTTTACCCGCCGCGAGTGCAGAGTGCCACCTGAGACAGGACCCGGGTAGGAGTCATAAGGCCAGTTTTAGTGGGAGTTTCATGTTTTAGTTTCCAAGACTCCTGTAAAACACATTTTATCTCATGAGACTTTCATCATATCTCTCTTCGTCTATAATATGCCATGACAACTCATGTAATATCCATAAAACTCCACAACTAGCCTAACAATAACTAGCTAATACACGACAACAAGGAAAGAAGGCGTAGCTAGAGGTGGGACTTGGGTTATGTGGTGCTGGCCCGACACTCTCGTGTTTCATACTGCTTTGGATCGTGGCCTTTATGAACACAAGGCACGACAAGTCTTTGCTTCGGCCCAAGCATGACCCATAGCATGCTGGCACACCTGCAAGGATGATCCTCAAAATATCTTTGCTTATTTTCTTTGTCCATTTGTGATATACAAAGAAATATATTTTGTATGTACCATTTTCATTAAAAGTATCAATAGTTTTTGTAATGCTTTCAAAAGTTTTAATGATTTTCATTGTTCATTCAATAATTAGATGAGAGGTCGTATAGTAATAACTAGAAAACTGCATTGTAGCGTTACGTGCTATTTTTAGTGTCGTGCCAACAGAAAACAAGAAGAAAATACTCTCCTGCTGATTTTTTCTAAAGCATGAGCCACTCCATTAGCACTCTTATGACCTTTGACTTTGAAGTCTTGAAAAAGTCTCAACATTTGTTTTGCCTGCTCAATGATGATGCAACTAGGGGATCAATTTGGAATATTGCAATTGAGTGTCTTACTGTAGCTAGGCAGTCAGATTCCAGCCATATAGGCCCCGTAGAGGTCGAGAGAGTATTTTGGATTCCCACAAAGCCACTAATTTTCAGCTTCTTCAAACATAAACGATCATTGGTCCAGTGTGAAAAACCACAGCAGAATGTATAGGCATTCATATAAGATATGTCCTCAGAAGGTAATGTAATTTGATTGAAAATCAACAAGAAAAATCATATGAGGGTTTCCTCGATATAGATACCCACTCGGATATGTGGTGGAAAAATGATACTCTCCTTGTTCTATTATACTGAGTCAAACTGTTTTAAGTTTAATCAATTTTATTATATTCATTGTATATCACATGTATATTTGGCCCATGAATATGGATACTGTTTTCTAAATATTCGATCAAGCTTTAAATAAAACAAAATTTGAGGAATGTTTGAGTTTGGAGTGGGGTCATGAGGTGCCATCTTTTGGTGCCTGCCTCTCCTGCTGATTTCTACGCCCGCAACCCGGTTTTTTTTTTTTTTAACATGGCTATTATCACCTGGGAGTCAAGTCCTAATCCTAATCCAAAAGGACGCCGTACCCATTCCCTGAAACGAAGACGTCCGCTCTAGCGGGAATCGCAATCTCAGGATCCAGCCGAGCCGAGCAGAGCTCCCCTAATCCGGTAATGCCCTCCGCCAGATTCCCATTCCCAATCCTGCACTCCCCGCTCGCCGCCGCCGTCCTCGCCTCCTCCGGGCGGGCGTTCGTTCGTGAGGCGACGCTCGGTGCTCCGACGTCACAGATTCGTAGTTGTCGTCGGAGAAGCCTCGAGAGCTCCTTCGCCTTCCAGTAGCGGACAGGCGAGTCGCATGGAGAGGTGGCGGCAGTCGTCGGCCGGTAACTTAGCTGTCTAGGTTATTAGTAGATCTGTAGGAGTTTGCCGGTGGAGTTAGCAGCGGCTCCAGACCGTGTCTTCTTCCTCCGGGTCGATGATGTGCTCGGGGTTTTGGTGGCAGGAGCCATGTTTTTCATTGTAGATTTTTTGTGTACCAGGTTCCTGTTTTGTATTATGCATATATGCCATTCTTGATCTAATATAAGTCACCCCTTCTCAAAAGAAAAAAGAAGAAAAATCACAAATTCAGAAGAGGTCTTTACTTTCTTTCTTTTTTATTAAAAAAAACTTTCAGGTGCCCAAGTGCCAACCTTGTCTGCATCTCGACGCTTGGCATGCACTCCAATTTGTAACGCCATGTGCTTTGTTTTAGGTGCTCTTCTCTATGGTTTGGTCAGCATAGTGTTTTCTAGCGGGGCATTGTTATAGTCTGAAGCGATTCAGTAGTGTCATGTTGTGCTACGAAGCATTAGGCACACAGACTAATTGATTTTCTTTTTCTCATTTTTTGTTCTAGGCTAGAGATGAATCACAGTCAAGGCCCTAGAATTGTTCGTGGCAGAGGTAGAAATAAAAGGATGTGGACAGCAGATGAAGACGACGAGCTTGTCAAAGCCTTGTGTGAGGTATCTGCTGATCCTAGATATAAGGTTGAAGGAGGGGCCTTCAAGAACTGTTACTCTCAAGGCATAGAGAACATTCTTGCACAGAAGCTACCTGGCCGTGGTATTAAACCAGCCCTCATGTTGATTCTCGGCTGAAAGTGATGAAGCGGAAGTATTATTCAATCAAGGATATGTTAGCATCGCCAGGCTTCTCTTGGGACGACACAAGAAAGATGATCCAATGTGAAAAACAATGATACGATGAATATTGCAGAGTACGTTATTCTGAGTATTTTTGCACTTCTATATTTTTCATCATAGTATGTTTCTGTTTTGACTTGTTATTTGCTGCAGGACCATCCTAGAGCCAAGGGTCTGTATGGTGTCCCATTTGTATATTTTGATACATTTGGTGCAATATATGGCAAGGACAGATCTGCTGGAGAAGGGTTAGAAGGGTCTGAAGATGCAATTGCTAACATGGAGAATGAAAATACAAACGAAGTTGGAGATGACGAAGTGGAGGAGGACAGGATGTCCACAGGAATATCTGGTCGCTCCTTGGCCGCAACATTAAGCTCTAAGAGTCAGAAGAAGTACACGCATGACGGGAAAAGGAATAGGACTGAATCAAATTGCCCATCTCTGGACAAGTTCAAGGATGTACATGTTCAGTTTCAGAATGCCATTCAGCATGCCAGCACGATGGCTGCTGCAATGGAGCTGTTCAAGGATGTACATGATCACTTTCAAAGTGTCGTTCAGCATGCTGGTGCTATGGCAGCAGCAATGGAGCTGTTCAATGATGCACACAGTCGTTTTCAGAGTATTGTTCAGCATGTCAACACCTCGACAACAGTAATTGAACAGTTCAAGGACGCTCTTGATCATTTTCAAAGTATTACGCAGAATGGCAAGGTGATAGCAACTGTGGAGTATGATACTGAAATGCAAGAGAAGTCAATGTGTGAAGAGCCCCAGAGGAAGGCCAAAGTAACAGCCATCGCTGAAGTACTGAAGCTTGGGTTTAGTGGAACTGAAGTGGTAACCACCGCAAGCATTTTCGCAAAGGAACCAAACCAAATGGACATGTTTCTAGCACTGCCAGAAATCTATAAGAAGGATTACATACTCCAGATGCTCAGTGGTATGCCATGTGATCCTCTGATCCTTTATACAATGCATCTCACTTCATTTAAGGCTGTAAAGGTCATTTAGCATATTTTCTTTTTAATTCTAGCATTGGCATTTGCAGCAGGTTTCAACTTTCTGATGCATATGTATATATGATTGTTAAGCTGCTTACGCTAGTTTCAGTTGGTTTCAATTTGAGTTTATGCCTGTTAGCCTTCAGGTTGCTTCTCCTAGGAGTGCAACGTGTGCATACTATAGGGTTTGGGACCATTCGTGGATCGTCCTTTCTGCATATGTCGTCTTTAGTTGACTGTGTACTAAAAAACATGATCGTGCTACCACATTTAGTTTGCTCTAGTTATTAGTCTGTTGCTGCTTGTTTCTGCCATGTCAATCAAGTTATGTGCACATGAGGTGAGAATAGATAATTATCTACTTGTTGCTAGTTTTATGAGCAACCATGTGATGTATTGAAGGATGATTATACTCGACATTTCTTACCTGTTACTTCACATTATATGCAAGAACATTGTATTTAACTATGTACTACGTATTTATTTATGATTATCCTTCTTTTGGTAAAATATGAACCAGTTTTATTTGCCAGCCATTATATGCTCTTTGAGAAGCGGTTGTAAATTTGCGATGCTTTTTTTTTAGAAAACCAAGACTTTTATCCTGCAGTACAAGTATGTGCGGCAATTGGTTGGTTGTGCCTAGATGGAACACAACGAGATGAAGTTTCTTCCCATGTAAGATGAAGCTAACTCGTGTTGCGTTTCCTTTTGTTTCAGGTGGACAATGCATCCAATACTCAGCCGGTTAGTCTGTATTCATCGGGTTAGTAGTCGGCTAGATATTTGTAAACAGTTAGTAGTGCCCCCCACCCGTTTCTTGTTAAATATCTGATGTAGTCTGTGAGACTGAGCATGGGTTAAAGATTATTTTCACTTTCTTAGTGTTGTGGTCCTTTCCAAGTGTAGTGTGTTTTCGATTTTGGATGTGGTATTAATCCGCATGTGCAAGATTATTCTAACTATCTAGTAGTTTTGTAGTGATGCAAGAATTATCTGTAACTTGTCTCTTTCCTTCCCTCGAACCAGCAGTTACCCATACAGTTCATTCCTGCTTGAAGCATTCCTGTGTAGCAAGTACTTGCGTTTCCATTCCAATTCCCAAAACCAAAAACTGAGTTATTACATTGCAATCGCATTAGGATAAAATAGAACCAAAAGCTGAGTTATTATGTTACAATTGCATTTGGATAAAATAAGCTCGATAAATGGATATACTACAAGACTAGTGCTGTCCTTTTTCAGTGGAGGTGGACCAAAGATGACAGTCGTCAACCTGATATGCAAGACTAGTGCTGTTCTTCCGTGGAGGTGGAGAAACATCAAGCCGCTAAACGAATGGGTTTGATTTCTTATACGTACTCCTACGTGTGAAAGAGAAAAAAAATACATTTTCCGCCTGGTTTGACAGTTTTGCGCACAACAGACCTCTTACGTGCATGCTTCAGCCAGATTTATGCATGACGTGGAGCGGAGCAGCTCATGAACAGAGTAACATGATTACACCTCACCAGGAGAAAAAAAAAAGGCCAGCTTCAATTGAAAGGATACACAAAAGCTTTAACCAAAACAATTGATAAGGATACACAAAAACGATCGAAATTTCAATGGAGTAATTTTTTCTCACAACCAAAACAGCGACAATACTGATCTTCAAGTTGCTGGCATTTCATTTCATATCCACAAATACAAACAGAAAAATGATGCGAAAATGTAGTCGACTTGTTCTTTGACAGTATTATTTTGCAAGCAAAGAAGACTTCATAGTCTGGATGGTATGACTTCCATGCCAAGTAGAAACACCAGTTAACCAGTGGAAGATCACTCCTTTTTCCCAATCCCATGAGACATGTTGTAAACTCCACGCCCCTGTTCGTAAAACCAGGAAACAAACCACCAGGTGAGAGGAAACAACAAAAAGGAAAGTTAAACAAGTAATAATCTCTACGGTTGAAAGTTCAAACTTACAATCATGAACATGCTGGAGGCAGCAAGTGCAAGGGGGATAGCAACGGAGGTGATCACATCGAAGCGCCCTTTCAGGTAGGTGTGCTTGGTCAAGTTCTGGAAGTAATGTTGCTGCTTGAAGAGCCTCTCACGCGGCAGAAATGGTGCTTCTGTCATCCTGCATCAAAAGAGAATAAATTTACAGCCTATACTACCATAATGAGAGAACAAGCCTTTTTGAACTAATGTTCTGATATAGAGTACTTTTCATGGTTACTTAGGGTGCGATCACTGATTGTAACAGTAAACATAAAAAAAATAAGCACAGTTGACTTTAAAAATCCTAAACACATTTAACCCTCACAGAGTAAGTTAGTTGTTTGGCTCACCTATCACAACAGGGGGGAAATAGCAATCTAGAATCCAATCACTTCTGTCTAAAAAGAATCAAGAAATACTTCAATCTAGCATTTTTTTACGAGTTCCTTTAGAAACATTACAAGACAATTTGGTTTGCAATTAAACACATGTCTAATCATATGGTGACTGGTTGATCTATACTGGATAGCTGGAAAGAAACAAGTAGTGCAAGTGATCATCCAGAACTAAAATGTCTAGTACAGGCTTCAAAGCACTCATACTCAGGGCAGAGTTAAGGGGGAAAGGCAAATCCTTGGCCAAAATGTCCTCTGTCCTGGTTGAACATGACCAGAACAGTGTAGCACAAAATTAAATATTAAATATCTATTAAATTCAAAATTTTGCATCAATAAAGTTTCCAAGCATGGTAAGAAAATTCCATTGCAAGAAAGTCTCGCACATTCGACGATATTTTAAAAGAATTTGCAAGCATGTTATGCAGCCATTAACCATTTCTCAAAGGCAAACCTCTACAATCGTTATTCCTAATCATAACCTCAGCATCAACCAACTCTCCGGATGAAAAGACAAGAGACTAGGTGTCTAGGTCCATGCATTCCCCAGGGGAAAACTATGATTTCACATCTCTTCGCAATCAGTAATACTGCGAAAGTACCCTAAACAATGTCTTGATATCGCAAGGTAGCAGCAATTCGAGAGACACAGCTAACCATTACACCACACGGCACAATTCAACAAGCCAGAGTTTGAACCGCTTAATCCAATCGCTCGACTAGGTAAGATACAGATAGGCAGCAGCCAGCAGATCGGAGTCGAACACCCAAGTCGGAGAAGACGACATCACGAAATCGCGGGTAAAGAGCACGTCACATCGACAGGAAAAGAGATAAAAACGCAGGCGCACGCGACACCGCAGATCCGACGGAGGGACGGCCCCAACGACGCAGGCGATGCATTCGGCGCCACCAAATCAGAATAGGTAAGCTACCCACCCTTCGCCCGCTCCGGATTCGGGGACGAATCGGCGCGACGGAGGGCTAGGTTTATGGCAAAGGGAAGGAGAGAGCTTCCCGACGCGTACCTGGCTGCCGAGGGGAGCGACGCGATGGCCGGCGGCGGAGCGGGTGGGGATCTGCGAGAGGGAGGCTGACCTGACCTGACGGAGGCGAAGGAATGGAACGAGTCAGGGAGGGCACGGCTTTTGTGGATTCGCTCCGTGGGCCAATCATTTATGGGCCCGTACTGGGCCGACAAAATGGCCCAGTTCACTGAGAAAAGAATTGCCATGACATTTCTCTTTGAAAAAATTCCAGAATATTCCCCTCAAAAAAATCTCCAGAATATTTAGAAACCTTTTATCCAAGTTATTATTAGCAATCTGTCTACACCGTTTATCATTAGCATTAGCAATCTCTGATCGGTTCACGTCATGAAAACAGAAAGAAAGAATGAAAGAAAGGTAAAAAAACAAAACTGCACACGGTATGGTGACACTGTACATCAACTGCATAAAAACAAAGTGTCGTTATCAAAAAAAAAAAACAGTGTGATGGATTTTGTCAGAAACGTGGATGCTCCCGGTAATATATAAGGATTCCAAGAATTGATCGTAACGGTAGTCAGAAATATGATGTCCAGGAGCATCGTCCGGTAGGAAAATAGACCAGCAGGACCAGCGAAAGGACCGTTTGCTGTGCTGAGAATGAAATTCAGATAGACAAGAGTAAGGCCCTGTTTGGTTCCTACGGTCACTCCTAACATTTATGTCACATCGAATGTTTGGACACATGGAGTATTAAATATAGACTAATTATGAAACTAATTGCACAACTTGCGACTAATTTGCAAGACGAATCTTTTAAACCTAATTAGTCCATGATTTGACCACGTGTTGCTACAGTAAACATGTGCTAATGACAGATTAATTAGGCTTAAAAAATCGTTTCGCAAATTAGCCTCCATCTATATAATTGGTTTTGGAATTAATCTACATTTAATGCTCCTTATTAACATCTAAACATTCGATGTGACATGAATTTTAGGAGCGACTAAAAAACCAAACATCCTCTAAAGCTCTCGAGAGAAAGATTACCTTCTCTGCTTCTTTTTCTCCACATAATATTACCACTCAAGCAAAAGAACTAAACAGTGACTCGGCCAGGCAGCAAATAACTTGGAACTTCCAGTGCAATTGAGGCAGAAGACAGAAGGAAAAAAGACATCGACTTAGTCTTTATACTGTATATATATGCAGAAATCATAGGCAAACGTGATGCCCTGGCCTTCCAATCTGGTGCAGCGAAAAGCAAGCTAAGTGTGACAGTGGTAAACGGTGATGCATATGCAAAGAGACATTCCCAGTTAAAAAGCACCGAGTACTAGACAATCCTTCAAAAACATATGTAGCTTCTCCATAACCTTTAAATGAATGAATCAGAAGATGTCAATGTTTGTTGTTCCTGCTACTCACCGGTGAAGGCAATTTGACCCATCAATGTTCTCTCAAGGCATTCATTCATCATGCTCATCCACTATCTGGAGTAACTTGACAAAGCTCAACTACTGAAAGAAATGTCCTCAATGGTGGTTCTGATATAAATTGTTCAAACGCTGTCCCAAATTCTGTTGTAGCAAATGTACATTAATAAACAACAACATTATAACATGTGACTCAAGTCAAATAATGTTTACAGTAAATAAATACCACAAAGATAACATAATAGATTGACGCTTAGCCAATTGCCACTTGATATCATCGAACTAGAGAGTTTACAGTGTACACACGTGTCCATAGCATAAGGATCACAATTAACCAATCATTATTGGCCAAATCACAGTATCCTGTGCAAGTAATGAAAGGTAAGAAATGTGGAAATACAATTGACACTTCCATACCACCATTGGCATTCAAGCATTATCATCGTCGTCCTCGATATCCCAGCTTAAATCCTCATCATCTTCAGCAACGCTCAGCCTCTTGCGCAGCTCCTCCTTCAGAGCAGGGCTTGAGGTGTGGGTGCCGCCTTTCTTTTCTTCATGCTCTCCTAGATCCTCAATCTCATCCCATTCAAGATCCTCTTCCTCCACCGTTCGCTGTCTAGACACTATGGAGTAATCGCTGTCCTTTTTCGAATCACTCGTCTCATGCTTTGCTCCTTCCTTCTTGTCACCCGATTCTTCGACATTCGACTTGGAGGGCTCTGCATTCTCACCCTCGCCCACCACAACCAAAGAGCTACCGAGAACCGCTGGTTGTGGCTCATCAGCATTCTGTCGTTCCTCCTCCTTGTCCACTACCACCAAAGAGCTACCGAGAACAACTGGCTGTGGCTCGGCGGCATTCTTCTCTTCCTTCTCCAAATCAGGCACTTCTTCCACTGCCTCAACTCTGCTCTCTTCTACAACTCTCTCCCCGTTTTCTTTATCAGCCACATCCTGTCTGACTTCTTCTTTGATCGTCTCTTGCCTCCTTTCCGCTAGCTCCTCCGTGCTGTCTTTGTGCTGCTCTTCCTCTTCCTCTTCCTCGTCATCGACCTCCCAGCTCAAGTCCTCGTCCTCCTCCTGCGCGATCACACGCTGCACGAGCTTCGCCCTGGCGTCCTCCTGCTGCTTCAGCTTATGGACGCGGTAAAAGTACCTCGCCCAGAACACGTCGCGGGGCACGGCGTCCGGGACGAGCCTGTCCGCCATGGCTTCCAGCGCGTCGCTGTCGTAGCACAGGGCCTCGATCTCCTCCTCCCTCTCGTCCAGGCTAAACCCCTCGCTCCACGCGGCGTAGTCCTCGGCGTCCTCGGGATCGGACGTGAACGTGGCCGGATCCGCCTGGAGAGCGCGCAGTTGCGCCTCGAAGCGGCTGTACCGGACGTGGGCCCCGGACGCGGAGCTGAGGTCCGAGTCGCCGCCGCCGCCGTCGGATGCCTGGGGCCCGGCGGAAGCGGCGGCGGCCTGGGAGAGCGCCTCCTTGCCCTGCGCGACGATGTCGGCGAGCCCGTCGAGCGCGTGCGCGGAGGACGGCAGGTCCCGCGCAGCCCGGGCGGCGGCCTCGCGGAGCACCTCGGTCTCGCGGCGCAGGCCGGTGCCGAACTCGGCGAGGTCGCGGCGGTAGGCCTCCAGCACGGTCTCGGACTGCGAGGTGAGCGTCTTGAGCAGGCCGCCAAAGCCCCACCCGCCGCCGCCGCCGCCGCTGGAGGAGGAGGCGGATCCAGCGGGTTCCGGCTCCGGCTCCTGCTCGGGCGGCGGGGAGGCCGGGTCCGGATCGGGCTCGGCGAGGATGGACTTGAAGAAATCCATGGCGGCTTGGATCGGATCGGAGACGTTGGTCGTGGGTTTGGCCGCGGGGACGGGAGGGGAGCAGTCGTTTCGATTTCGTTCGGGGGTGGGAGCCGAGCCGGGGAGCCGGGGAGGGCTTTGCTCTCGCTTCGCTTTCGCTTGCTGTGCACGGGTTCGTGACTGCCGTGTGCCCTCAGCCGCGGCCCGGAAGGGCTTCCCCTCCCTGTGTCTAGCCCTGGGCGTTCGGTTCGGTCCTCCCTCTGTCTAGCCCTGGGCGTTCGGTTCTACCGAACCGATCGATTCTTCTGTTTTTTTTAAGGAGTTCGGTTGAAAACCAGTATCGATCGTTTCTTCAAAAAATATGGAACCGATTAGGTTTGATATCGGTTCTTTCGGTTCGGTTTCGGATAGAACCGAAAAACCAAACAGTACCCAAAATCCATGTAACAGCATGTTTAATAGCAAATTTTGACAGTATTTCAACAGGATTGCATACAAAACCACAGTGACAAATATAACAATCAAACAGAGTAACAAATACATAAATAGAGTGCTAACTTCTAAAGCAAGGCTTCAGCATTCAGCAATAGTGCAAGACACTAAGACAGCACACTACTACACTATTTTCGGTTCATCGGTTAGTTCGGTTAACCGAGGGGGGAACCGATTTTACCGAACAAATTTTGGTTCCTCGAAAATGAGAACCGAACAGGAAACCAAGACTTTGGTTCTTGGTAAATTCGGTTCGGTTCTCGGTTCTCGGTAAAATTTGCCCAGAGCTACCTGTGTCCCGGAGTGGAATAAAACGTTGTACACATATTCCCGCCGTGATGTCGTTTTGCCCTTCCGGCTGGGAAAGGCCGGCAGGCCGCTGCGCTGAGCGGCTCGACTCCTACACATGTTTGTTTGGAGCGGAATGGCGTGGAATTGAATTAAGTTTCATTCTAATCTACTCTAAAACACATGTATTAAAATGGATACACATGTATCTAAATAACGTCTCAGATGTATCAAGTATTAACCCAGAGACAGTTAAAAATGGACGGTTGAGATTGACATATGGACCAAACAAGATTTTCAAGTCTATATCGAAACAACACCTACATGTTAAGATAAATTACAACTTAGCTAATTGTCTTGGCTATCCATCAGTCACAAAAAAATTGTACAAATACTTGGCCAAGCACAGCTAACGGTTGTTATATTCATGTCAATTTCTATAATTTGCGCATGAGTTCAATTCGTATATGCTATGGATAGTCCGTAGTGGATGATAGTGTGTATTTAATTGAAATGCTGGTAAAGAATAGTGGACTGAAACAGTCCGTTGAATGCTAGCACCGTTGTGGTGGTCTTAGTGTTTCAATGAGATCTCCGTTGAATGATAGTTCCTACATCTCAAAAAAAATGTAAATATCAATTTATAAGAAGTCAAAAAATCTTAAGTTTGACTGAACTTGTACAATATCTAATACATTTAGATCTCTAGGTAAATTTATTATGAAATTATATCACATGGTTAATCTAATAATACTTAGTACGCAGCATACACATCAATACTGTTTTTGATGG